GTCTATTTGTACTCACTGACAGCCCGTCCTCCAAACAAAGATCCAAAAGTGATTCCATGCACCCGCCAAACCCCCTGTTTATGAATGAAAAGCGGTTTACACACGACTCACAACTGCTGACGTTCGAACATATCCGGAACAAGTGTTTCACTGACGAATTTTGTTCGAATCACAACGCTATAAATGCTTCACCCACGTACTACAAATACAAATAATCGCCAACAGAACCTAAACACCTAACCTAACCTAACCTATGCCTATATATGCACAATATGCTAATATATTATAATATTAATTTATACTTGAGAAAATTCCCGTTTTGAATGAACAGCATATTAAAATTTATGAATGCGTCTGTGGGGTCGACCGCTGGATGTAATGGACTTGAGTCGAGGACGGGTTGGGCTCGGGGAGGAGTGAGCAGCCCGTCCTGAGAAAAATTATTCTTAGAAGGATGACTGTTCTGGATTCCCTCCGGGGTTCAAGGATTAGATTTTGCTGTGGGGGCGACAGGTTTTCCGCTGTTGGGTTGTCCGTCTGGGCTGATTACGGCGCTTTCCGTTTTCCGCGTTTTCCTCAGGTTTTGAAGGGCCCTTGTGGTTTGTCATGTTTTCGGGTATTTGCCCGCCTTGACGACTGGCTGGTGAGGGCCAGCCAGTCAATTTGTCTGCTAGAAAGGGGTCTGATTTTTAAACGGTTCACTGGGTTTTAGGTTCCTGGTGTACTGGCGGAAGTTCCAGGTTGCTCCAGCCCAGGTTCGGACCTGGTTGGGCCTATCTTGGGATTGTTGGTCGGCGTCACTTTCCCCTGCCTTCTGTGGCCTTGCTCCGGCTGCAGAGCAGCCATCTGCCTGCTGGTGGTGAGGGGTAGCCGGGTGGCTTGGCGTTGCTCGAACGATTGTGCGGGAATCTTTTCTTTGCCCTTCTGGGCTTCTTGTTGAGCTGGGTTTGGTTCGGCTCTTTCGCGTTCGTTGGGTACGTTCTCCGGGTTCCATTCTCAAGTCGAACACAATCGACTTTATTATGGTTTAGGACGGACCGAAACGTTGTCGTCCCTTCACCTTCTAGTGTGTAGTCTGTTCAACATCCTGGTCGACGGTCTCTCTAAATTCCTTCCCCCTTTCCACGGAATGAACCGTCGACGTCAATTCCTTCCTAAGGTTTTGCTGGATGTATGGACGCCCAGACGTCGACCTTTTCCCGTCGGCTTTGTCTCTGCGTCTGCCCCTTTACGCGGCGCTGTTCCCCGACTGCGAGGCCCTCGAGGTGAACATCTTTCTCTAGTCTGGTATTTATGAGATGCAATTACCTCCCTCCCCCGGTCCAGCTGTTGTGGACGTTGGCGCGGCTGGAGTCTTTCAGGGGAAACGATTTTTCTGGCTCCTTGGTGGCCGGCCCAGCCTTGGTTTCAGGCGCTGCTTGCTCGGTGACCGAACCCGGGGGTTTCTCCACAGTTCCGCCTCTTTCAGAGGGTCGGGCAGGCGACTTACTTGTTGGCTCGACCTTCTCCGATCAATGTATTTGGAGTTTTTGCTGTGCCATTTGTTTAGTGATCAGGTGGCTGGGTTGGTGTCCCACCTTCAGTCTTTTTCCAGGTGACGGTATGATGTTTCTTGGCGGTCTTTTCGCCACTTTCTCTCTCTTCGTAGTTGCTCTTCAGTTTCTGAGCGGGTTGTTTTGTCCTCCCCCCCCCCCTCTCTCTCTCTCTCTCTCTCTCTTGACTGTTTCTCGATCGGCATCTTATGCCGAAAACTGTCTTCTTTTTTCGTGCGGCGTTGGCGGAGGCGACTACCAGTCAAGAGTAGGTTAGACATATATATGCATGAGTTTGGGTGGATATAAATAGGTTCTGCCACGTATGGGTTAATAGGCCTGCAGTTCCATTCATTCGTATGTGCTGACCTCTGGTTGTCGGGTTGGTGAAGTTCCAAACCTCCAGCACCAGAGGTTTTGTTCCTTTGGATCTGGTGGACGTTTTGTTCAGTGGCACCCGGCTCCTTGTTCTGGCGAAGAATGAGACGGCTGATTGTTGTTGAAGATTAAGCCACCACAAGAGGTGGCACGGGCATGAGTAGTCCGTAGATTGTAGAGATTTGGAATGAATGTACAGTCTCCGTGGTGTAGTGGTAAGACACTCGCCTGGCGTTCCGCGAGCGCTATGTCATGGGTTCGTATCCTGGCCGGGGAGGATTTACTGGGCGCAATTCCTTAACTGTAGCCTCTGTTTAACTCAACAGTAAAATGTGTACTTGGTTGTAACAAGGATTCTTCGCGGCGGGGATCGTATTCCAGGGACCTGCCCGAAACGCTACGCGTACTAGTGGCTCTACAAGAATGTAACAACTCTTGTATATATCTCAATGTGATCTTGAATTGTGTCTGGGTCTCCCGAGACGGCTGGCTTCCGGAGTGTGATATATTGTCCTATGTACTCAACTAATGTGGATATACTATCACGTACACCTGGTCTAGTGGGCATACTCTCCCCACCCACCTAATCTCGTGTGGCACAGCTCGGCTATACTCCATTCAGGCTTACCTCATCACTGGAGTTCTTAAGTCGTGTGCGGTGGGGACTCGATGCCGACCCTGCGTATTCCAGGCAGGTCTGACATAGGTTGTGTATAGATCTCTGAACTAATCCCTGTTTCAATTCTTAAAAGAAGTCCTTATATTCCCAGGCTTCAGGTATGCTGTCGATGTTATTGTGTCCCTCATGCATTTGAGGTGGCGTGATATTTCAACCCATCCTCCTGGTTAGATAGTACTTTTTGTAACTAATGTGCACAATAGTACAAATATTGACGTACTAAGCAATTAGATAGTAGAATTTTGTACTATTCACTTTATAAGAGTCCTAAAAGATGAAGCTAAAAACTTACAAATATTGCTAGGCCTAATATAGCGCACACACACATATTAGGCCTCAGTGTGAATTAGGCCTAGGAAGGTTAGGTTAGTTTGTGCAGCCATGAGTCACAACAACGTGGCTAAAGTACTTGAGAATGGTCCAGGACGGACCGAAACGTCGTCGTCCCTTCACCTTCTAGTGTGTGGTCTGGTCAACTTAGGTTAGTTTGTCTTTTGAAACATTGAAAATAGTTTTCCGGTTTGTCCAAATTCAACAGTACCGATTTCTTTCAAACTGCGTTGTTACGTCTGTATATGTATGTAACAGTTCTATTGTTACGTAAAGTATGGTGACAAATAAACACAGACACTAAGATACTATATATATATTTGGTCGAATATGCAGAAGTACACAGGTGATACTTTGGTGTGAGTTGAGCGCACTGAGCATCGGTACAGTATCTCGCAAGTGTCTGCTCTAGACCACACTTGAAAGTAGACTCTGGTTAATGTTTGCTATTCTGCTGCTTATATGCTCGGGCAACACCTCACCGTGTTGCCCGGGCAACGCCTCACCTCATTCATCTTCGAAGGTTGACAGGAATATTAACAAAGCATTTGGAGCGAGTATATTATTGGGATAATCTACTCGCTACATGTACTATGGTCCTCATCCTTCCAATAAGTACTATTAAAGCAGGAGGATTGGCTGGATATTTACGCTCTCATTCTGCTCTTTTGTTTCCAATTAACATTCCTATACACTTGAGGGGGTTGATTTCTAATCGCCATTCATCTGCCCCATCACACGGCTCTTTTAGGTCTGACATAACCTGGAATTATCCTCATGTCTTTCCTTTATCAGTTTTGTTATGTGGAAACATTACGACGAAAGGGTGTGTACCTGCTCTACAGGTCGTTCACATGATCAGGAAGTGCAGTGGGCCAAGGACTTAGCCTGGCGGGACCCCGCTTACTGCTTCCTCACACTGTGACATTTCCTCTCACAGTGAGTTTTTGTACTGTGTATTCATTCACCTGTGTGTGTGTGTGTGTGTGTGTGTGTGTGTGTGTGTGTGTGTGTGTGTGTGTGTGTGTGTGTGTGTGTGTGTGTGTGTGTGTGTGTGTGTGTAAGAGGGAGGGAGAAACAGAGATAGATACACAGAGATAGATACACAGAGACAGATACACAGAGATAGATACACAGAGACAGATACACAGAGACAGATACACAGATAGATGGATAAGCTGCATGTACTCGCTCTTTCAGCAAGAAAGTATCGATGACTCTCATAAATAGCTTTTGATTCATAGCTTCCATACAGCAGTTGTGAACATGTCTGACAACTGCTGTGACGGATAATATGCAAGTAGGGGACCCGGCAGTTAATGGTAGTTACGTGTTTTCCTGGTTTATCCCTATAATAACTTTGTCTTAACTGTGGGCATTAGTGAAGCCAAATTGTTTGCCCAATTGCAATATAACTTTATATTTATAATTTTTATACGCGTCTATATCAGAAATCTATGTAAGTATTTCCATAGGGAAGTGTAACGGTCCAGGAACCCGGCTGTGGACGCAATCATGTGTGTACAGATTGGTATTTTGCTTCTCTGTGGACATCAACTTTATTTTACTATAGTACTGGGTCATTAGGGAGCCTGTTACCTAGCAGTACATAGGTACCTGGGAGTTAATCAGCTGTCACGGGCTGCTTCCTGGGGGTGGAGGCCTGGTCGAGGACCGGGCCGCGGGGACACTAAAGCCCCGAAATCATCTCAAGATAACCTCAAGATAGGGCTAAAGTATACTTGTTGGTTGATCAGTAAACTGATTGATGAAGATTAAGCCACCCAAGAGGTGGCACGGGCATGAATAGCCCGTAAGTGGTGGCCCTTTTGAGCCATTACCAGTATCAATAGATGATACTGGAGATCTGTGGAGGTGCGACTGCACCCTGCGTGACGGGAGATGTCTCCCGGACCAAGTGGTGACTAAATGGTGATCAGTAAACTGTTGTGGGTTCCTTAATAACCCGCGGTTAGAAGGCCTTAGGCTCAACACCAGACCATACTAGCAGGAGAGAGGAAGTGAGGAGATGCAGGAAGCAAGAGGCGCGGCGTCTCATCTAACTGTTCCTGGCATACTGGAGGGGCGGGGCTCACCAAGGCCACTCACAACTGACCTGTATATAAAGTGAAGGCTTCAGACTTCCTCGCCAGACGTGGACAACGCTCTGATCAGCACTCGACCATCAGCATGAGAATACTGGTATGTAGAGAGAGACGCTTCTCTTCTGCTACAGCACGGGCTCACCATAGACCGTGCTACATGGACACTTCGTTCTGAGTAGCTAAGTCTATAACAACAACATTCTGTTACAGTATCATAGTTTACTTTCTACTTTTAGAGGATCAAGGACCAGGACAAGAATTAGGACCAGCCTAACAGCTGGGTGGACAGCGCTTCGGATCCGTAGTCCTGAGGTTCCGGGTTCGATCCCCGGTGGAGGTGGAGACAAATGGGCAAAATGTTTCTTTCACCCAGCATGTTCACCCAAAATGTTTCACACAGCACGCTGGACTTGTGATCCTGTGGTCCCGGGTTCGATCCCGGGCGCCGGCGAGAAACAATGGGCAGAGTTTCTTTCACCCTATGCCTCTGTTACCTAGCAGTAAAATAGGTACCTGGGAGTTAGACAGCTGCTACGGGCTGCTTCCTGGAGATGGAGGCCTGGTCGAGGACCGGGCCGCGGGGACACTAAGCCCCAAAAATCATCTCAAGACAACCTCAAGGAATATCTACCGTCGCGCGAGCTGCCATCACCGACAACATAATTACTTATTGAGCTAGATCACGTACTAGTAAAATATATATAACAAATAAAAATCACCCAACGGCCATCCTGTCACAAATTTTAGTGTTTGGAACTTGTTGGTAAATTATTTTCCTTCACATTTACCAAAGTTTAAAAGGGTTGTGAAATGCATTTCTTAAATCAGTAGCTGTATTTAGATTATTGTATTGTAATAAAGACATAGACGTGTGGAACAGCAGCACAGATTCTGGTTAAAGACCTGAGGAAACCTGGTTAAAGACCTGAGGAAACCTGGTTAAAGACCTGAGGAAACCTGGTTAAAGACCTGAGGAAACTCTTTACAACAAATATTGTGAGGTAAGGCCAGGATGTGTTATCTTCGTATTGATATGCTTTATCAACGGATCGGAACCCAGGCAGACAAATTGGTACCATCGTCACCAGCACAGAGTTCCCTCTTGTGACTGCTCTAACGTGGAAATTATTACCTTAAACTTTATAAAGTTGTTTTTGTTAAAGGGTCAAAGGTGACGTCTGGCTCTTGTTAAGCTGCCTTAAACCTTTCCTTCCGTTAACCGCCTTCTAGCCACCTCTACAATTACAGTTGGATGCCAAATTACTCATCCCTACCAAACAAGGGCTGGAACCCCGGCAGTTTCATCTAGTCAGACGTGAATGAGAGCTCTAGTTACTATACCACAGTAAGTTTAATGCTGCTGCTTACATCATGTCAATACTCGTCACTGTTGAGTATACGAGACCTACAAGTTGGAGACTCTTCTTGGAGACTAAACTGGCACCACCTGGCGGTCCAGAGGAGACCGTTCATATGTCTATGAACGTTCTATGTTGGTAATGCATGATGTTGTTACAGGTGTTGGTGGCTATAGTGGGCGTGTGCAGCGCTGCGCCCCAGTTCGTACCCGCCCCTCCCGGCCTGCTGGAGTTTGGTGTGGACGCTGAAGGCTGCACGGTGGGGCCCTCTGGCAAGGTCTGCCCATCTGGGCCCGTCCAGTTTACCAGTGCGGCTCAAGGCGTACCCCAGCCATTCCAGCCTGCCCCGCCGCGCCCCGCTGCGCCTCACCATGCCCCGGCTGGGACAGCCTTCACTGGGCTGGTGGGTCCCTCAGGAGTGATTGGGCCCTCCGGTCTGGTGGGCCCCTCGGGACCCGTCGCCTTCGGCAAGTAGGATCACGACTCTAATTCAAGTCTCTGAACTTATGTAAGGAAATTGTACAAATAAATTGTTATTGTTTTTCCAAGTTTTACAAACCTTAAATAAGTTTGAACAATCATACCAAACTTGAGTTCATTTACTTGAGGAACTGATTGATTGATGAAGATTAAGCCACCCAAAAGGTGGCACGGGCATGAATAGCCCGTAAGTGGTGGCCCTTTTGAGCCATTACCAGTATCAAAAGATGATACTGGAGATCTGTGGAGGTGCGACTGCACCCTGCGTGACGGGACATGTCTCCCGTCGATTGAGGAACTTTATCACAATTATATTTCAAGGAAAACCGCATACCCGTCGAAGCTGTAAATGCCAAAACTGTTACGTTTTAGAATCCAGCTGGACAAAAAACCCTCGGGGCAAATAGGGGGGGGGATCTGTAACAAGTTGCCGGCTTCATGTCCCCGTAGAGGCCAATAGTGTGTTAGTGGTCCACAAGTAAATATATATGTTTACCTGAGGGCCACCATATCTCTAGTGGCTTTGGCGGGGACATGAAGTTGGCGGTTTGTCGAAGTTCATGGTTCCTAAAGAATTTTCCCAGCTAGATATGGAACTGTAGTAATGTCTTGACATGTACGGCTTCTGTGGGTAGGCAGTTCCGTGGGTCAGTTGCCCTATGGGTGAAAAAACATAATCCGTTTTCTGTCCGACATTGTTTCCTTGTTGAGCTTAAAGCTGTTGTACCTTTGACCTTTAAAAGAAGTGGTCTGCGTTAATATCCTCCATTTGAACACGGGAACAATAATGTAAAATCGACACAACATGGGTTTGTTAAAGACAGATCCTGCCCTCCAAACCTGCACATTTTTTTGAAAAGGTGACCCGGTACTCGGGTACTACGGCGTTAAGTCAGCTTAATTTTCTCTCATCTTCTTTTTTTTTCATTCCATGTAATCTGTTATCATTTTTTTGTCTATAAATTTTGCAAGTATTTACCTCCTTAAAATTTTCTTAGATTAAGGACCTGCCCGAAACGCTGCGCGTGCTAGTGGCTTTACAAGACTGTAATTACCATATTTGTATCCTCACATTCCTTATGTACATTCTTGTATATGCATAAATAAATAAATAAATAAATAAAGCTTGTTGAGGGGTTGTGTCGTGGGCGGGGTCAGTAGAGTAGACCCCGGGGTGGGGGGGGGGAGACCTTGATAAAAGCCTAACGTGTGTGAATACACTCTGGCTTCCTGTCCCTCGACACAGTGAATTATTAATTTAATGCTGTACTCGCCTGTTTGTGCTTGCGGTTGGTTGAGCTCTGGCTCTTTGGTCCCGCCTCTCAACCGTCAATCAACTGGTGTACAGGTTCCTGAGCCTATTGGGCTCTATCATATCTACACTTGAAACTGTGTATGGAGTCAGCCTCCACCACATCACTGCCTAATGCATTCCACCTGTTAACTACTCTGACACTGAAAAAGTTCTTTCTAATATCTCTGTGGCTCATTTGGGCACTCAATTTCCACCTGTGTCCCCTTGTGTGTGTGCTCCTGGTGTTAAATAGCCTGTCTTTATCAACCCTATCAATTCCTTTGAGAATCTTGTACGTGGTGATCATGTCTCTGCTAATTCTTCTGTCCTTGAGCGACGTGAGGTTTAATTCCCGTAGTCTCTCCTCGTAGCTCATGCTCTACGAGGAGAGACTACGGGAATTAAACCTTCCTCCTGGACGTGTGCGTATTAGTGGCTTTAGGTATTGTATGTACTAGCTCTATCTATAAATCCAACATTATGTTTGTAACTCATCTTCTATATATGTAATTTTACCTGAATAAACATTTGAATTTGAAATTTGAATTATTAGTGGCCCCTCCGGTGAAGTCAGTTAATATGCGAAACGCTTTGCGTAATCGTGGCTTCATAGATGGTGTAACTCTTGTCCCTACAATTTTACTTATATTTTTTGTACACACACTATTTTAAAATTTAATTTTATAACAAAGATACCCTCCCCCCCCCACCGGGGGAGATATTTACCAGAGACAGTTTATGGTGGACGTGAACCTCCGTCATGTTGTTTGTCAACACTGAACCAGTCCTTCAGCTCCTTCATACAAACTGCCCCTACTATCAAGAAGAAGAGGAGAAGAAGCACCTACTATCAAGAAGAAGAGGAGAAGAAGCACCTACTATCAAGAAGAAGAGGAGAAGAAGCACCTACTATCAAGAAGAAGAGAAGAAGCACCTACTATCAAGAAGAAGAAGAGAAGAAGCACCTACTATCAAGAAGAAGAAGAAGAGAAGAAGCACCTACTATCAAGAAGAAGAAGATAAGAAACACCTACTATCAAGAAGGATAAACAATCAAACACTATTTCCTTCACTGTTTCCGACATCATAGTGCCAGAGTAAATTTCTAACAGGTATTTATCCCACTTTATTAACTGACGACACTTAAAATACCCTTTACCATCGAGCACATATTAGGTGACCTCTCGTTACAGGAAAAAATATCAAATGTCAAAGCACTGGCTTAATGTCTCCAGTCGACCAGCAAATTGGGCCACAAGTGACCTGTGTGACATTTATACCTGGCGCCACTAATAGCCAAACACAGACAGCAAATACCTGGCCGGGGAGGATTGACTGGGCACCAATCCTTAACTGTAGCCTCTGTTCACCCAGTAGTGAATGGGTACCTGGTTGTTAAACGATTCGGTGGATTGTATTCCGGGGAAAATTAGGATTAAGGACCTGCCCGAAATGCCACGCGCGCTATTGGCTTTACAAGAATGTAAAAACTCTTGTATATATCAATAAATTCCTGGCCACAGCATCAAGGATCAGCTGACGCCATAAACACAACCTACTGCTCTACAGTGTGGCAAGTCTCCCTCTACGTATCTACATTATAAACTCCCTCCCTATCATATCTACATTATAAACTGTGTATGGAGTCAGCCTCCACCACATCACTGCCTAATGCATTCCATCCGTTAATTACTCTGACACTTCTTTCTAACGTCTCTGTGGCTCATGTGGGTACTCAGTTTCCACCTGTGTCCCCTTGTTCGTGTCCCACCAGTGCTAAAGATTTTGTCTTTGTCCACCCTGTCAATTCCCCTGAGAATTGTGTAGGTTGTTATCATGTCTCCCCTTACTCTTCTGTCTTCCAGGGACGTGCGGTTTAGCTTCCCTAGCCTTTCCTCGTAGTTCATACCTCTCAGTTCTGGGACTAGTCTGGTGGCATACCTCTGAATCTTCTCTAACTTTGTCTTGTGTTTAACTAGGTATGGACTCCAGGCTGGAGCTGCATATTCCAGGATTGGTCTGACATAAGTGGTATACAAGGTCCTGAACGATTCCTTACACAAGTTTCTAAAGGCAGTTTTTATGTTGGCCAGTCTAGCATATGCCGCTGATGATATCCTTTTGATGTGGGCCTCTGGGGACAGGTTCGGTGTGGTATCAACCCCCAGATCTTTCTCTCTATTTGACTCTTGCAGGATTTCACCTCCCAGATGGTACCTTGTGTTCAGCCTTCTTCTCCCTTCGCCTAATTTCATTACTTTACACTTTCCTGAGTTGTACTTTAGTAGCCATTTTCTAGAGTCTAGACCATTCCCTCCAGGTCGTCCTGTAGTCTCTGTCTATCTTCATCTGTCTTGATTCTTCTCATAATTTTTGCATCATCAGCAAACATTGAGAGGAATAAGTCTATACTCTCTGGAAGATCGTTTACATATATTAGAAACAGGATGGGTCCAAGTACTGAGCCCTGTGGGACTCTGCTGGTGACATCTCGCCACTCTGATGTCTCCTCCCTCACTGTTACTTGCTGTTTCCTGTTGCTTAGATACTCCCTTATCCACTGGAGCACATTCCCTTTTACTCCTGCCTGTTGCTCCAACTTTTGTAACGGCCTTTTATGGGGTACTGCATCAAAGGCTTTCTGACAATCCAAGAAAATACAGTCTGCCCACCCTTCTCTTTCTTGCCTAATTTTTGTTGCTTGGTCATAGAATTCTATTAAACCTTGTGTTACCCTTGACGTTCTTTCCCTTGTGTTATGAAAGAGCGACCCTTGTTGCTCTTTCACTCGTGTTACCTTTTTCTGTTCTTTGGCTTGCATTACCCATACTGTTTTTGTATTTGCACACCCCTTGTTGTTCTTTCACTCACATTCCACTTGGCATTCTTTCACAATCATGAGGACCATCGGTAAATTAAAGGAATATAAAGGAGCAGGGCATTATTTAATTTATAATTTAATGGTCTGATGGCAAGGGTTATCTTGAGATCTTGAGATGATTTTGGGGCTTTAGTGTCCCTGCGGCCCGGTCCTCGACCAGGCCTCCACCCCCAGGAAGCAGCCCGTGACAGCTGGCTAATGCCCAGGTACCTATTTTACTGCTAGGTAACAGGAGCATAGGGTGAAAGAAACTCTGCCCATTGTTTCTCGCCGGCGCCCGGGATCGAACCCGGGACCACAGGATCACAAGTCCAGCGTGCTGTCCACTCGGCCGACCGGCTCCAGGGTTGGCATGGTAGCTACCCACTAACCCATCCAGGCCTCGTTTTTTAGTTTAAAACAATTAATATTTTTTTATAATATGGGCCAACTTATTTGCAGACAGTTTGAGTCAAACTGAAGTAAGATTGATGTTATATGAGCTGAGTTTTTGGAGTGATTTTGAATCAGGATAGCCCCAGACTCTGTTCATGTTGAATGCTGAGAGCGTGCAGATTTCTATAATGTCATGGTATGATTATTTTCCATTCTACTTCAAATTGTCTAATCATCCTAATGTTGTGATGTAAACTATGCCAATACACATATCTTACCACTTTAATGGTAAGCCTCGGTGTGTGTTTACAATACATCACTTTCAAATTGTTAGCTAAATGTCACTCTTTGCCTAAAATGTAAGTTTGATTTAGATTGCTATACACCTATTTAGTCCAGCTAGTATTTAATTTGTGCAAGTTATGAGTAAAGTTTGTGATTCTGATAATGACCCTGTCTACATGCTATGCTGCTATTGTGACACTCTTGTAATTAATGTACAGCATTCTTAATTTTTGTGTAAACTTTCTCGGTTATTGATTTGAGTTGATTGATTTACTAGCCTGCTTACTGTCTGCCATCAGGCCCATGATTTTCTTAAATTTGCTGCTTTGTCTGCTGTTTTCTTCAACATGTTGTGGGCTAATATACGAGCTCTGAGGTTTTGGAGGTCTAATAGGTTTTTGACAGCCTGGTATTTGGTCAATGTTCCTGGTTCCAGTTGGTATTGTGTTGCACAGGGCTGGGCTACCGTCTCTTCTCCAACTTGGTACCTGCTGTCCCTCCTCCTCCCCCCTGGTAAGTGCCTTGTTTACCTAATTTCCCTGTGGCTGGTTGGCTTCAGGGAGCCATAAAGGGGCTCCTCCCAGGAAACCAGTGTTGAGGGTAATGAAATTGCGCTTTTCTGGTAAAACCCCAGTGGCGCTCTGATTTCCTCCTTCCCTCTCTACCAGGTTCGTCGGTTCGTTGTGTATCAGCTCCAGGCTAACATGTGGGCTCCAGGTTGCCTGGTGGCAGCCATGAGTACCAATGAGTACAAGCTAGTTTCGAGTCAACCAATTGTTTTGACTGAATCATTTAGTGCCGTTTGGCTCTTTCATTGGTTCATTTTCTGTGAACTTTGCAGTTTGCTAAATTTCTGGATCTGGATTTTACAGTGATGGTGATTATAAAAATCTCCAATTTCTTATGCCTCGGTGAGGGAAGGGCCAGGTTCTGGTCCCTTGTAGGACCAACAGGACTCCGATGACTAATGTAACCCAGTAGTGGGGAAGTCATCTAGGTGAGACAGCTTCAGGGAGGCACCAAGGGGTTCTTCAAGAAAGAGGCATTTCATTACAGTTGTCATTTTTTGTTTTGTTTTTAGAATTTTTAATTTTTAATCACACAATACAGTACTATTACATTATATATAATTTTCTTTAAATAAGCATAAGCATTTCTTGTATTATTTCCTATAAGAAAAATCAGGAAAATTTGGTGATAAATAGCCATCAAAAAGGGGGCACAAATTTCTAGAAATCTGGGATTTACACAAATCCATACCAAGTCTGGAGGTATACAATTCGGATTTTGGAGTGTCACTGTGTACCTTCTGTATTTCATTTTTTATTAATGAGTGCAATACTGTATTTTATTTGATAATTGAGGGTGTTACAAGATAAATCTGGCTGTCACACACAATACTGTTTTTAAGTCTTTAAAAGTAATATGTTTATAATTTCAAACAGCTCCCTCTAACTTCAGTTATTGTTTCAGATACTAGACTAGTGATGACCCTCAAGGCTGAAGAAGAGATGAGCATTAGCCTCAGTTCTGGGGAACAGAGACATTGAATTACAGTACTAGCTTTTCATCCAAGGTTGTGCCATTATGTAATGCCAGGGATGGAACACGGATGAAATTTGTGTGACATGTGCTATTCAAAAAGGTTTAAGTACAGTTAATATAAATATTTGTACAAGGAACATGGTACAGTATGCACAAGTTTGAATGTGCAGATACTAAGCTCGGATGTTTAATGCTGCATAATTATACATATATACTTCTCCTCTGCCAGTGGTGTAATTGTCTAATTTAAAGAAACTAGGACAGTTAACAAGCATGCTGCAAGCTCCTCAGAATGCATAAACGCACAGTTAAAAAAAAGTATGAATGTGGAGAGTGTGGAAAACTGTTCTCACTGAAGAGGTACCTTAACATTCACAGGGCCAGTCACATAAGTGAGAAGTATGAATGTGAAGATTGTGGGAAACTGTTCACTCGTAAAACCTACCTTGACAAACATAGAGTTAAGCACTCAAGCCAGGAGACCTGTTTAGATGAACAAAAGTTCAGTGAAACGAGCAAGAACAACAATGTCACTAATGAAAACGACTGTGATATAAGTGTAAAGAGCTACAGCAACAAACACGAGGCTACTCACTCGAGTGAGACACGTGAGAAAAACTTTGCATGTGAGGAATGTGGAAAAGTGTTTACCAATAAAAAATACCTTTACAAGCACAAAGGTATTCACACAAGTGAGAAACACTTTGAGTGTGAGGAATGTGGGAAGCGGTTCTCTCGGAGTGGCTACCTTAACAAGCACAAGATCACTCACACTGGTAAGACAAGGGAGAAAAAGTACTCTTGCGAGGAATGTGGGAAACTGTATGCCAATAAGAATAGTCTCGAGTGGCATAAGGCCGTTCACAAAGACAAGAGGTATGAGTGTGCGGAATGTGGAAAGCTGTTTCTTCACATGACCTACCTCATTCAGCATAGAAATGTTCACACACACGAGAAAAAGTATAGATGTGATGAATGTGGGAAGGAGTTCCTGTGGAAGAGGAAACTTGCTGATCATAGGTTAACTCACACAGGTGGAGGGCATGAGTGCAAAATATGTGGGAAACGTTTTATTCAGAAGAGGAGTCATGCTGAACACATACTTGGTCATACTTCTGAGAAGCTGGCATGCGAAGTGTGTGGAAAAATATGTGTTCACGAGAAGCAACTTGGTGAACATAAGCGTACTCACAAGGCCGAGAGGAAGTATGATTGTGAGGTGTGTGACAAGTCATTCTTGCAGAAGAGTTACCTCACTCAACATGAGCTTATTCACAAAGGTGAGAAAGAGTTTGAATGTGATGAGTGTGGAAAACAATTCACTTTGAAAGGCTATCTTAATAAGCATAAAGCTAGTCACAAAGGAGCGAAGTATCAGTGTGAGGAGTGTGGCAAATTGTTCTCTCGCAAGGGCTACCTTACTAAGCACAGGCTGCTTCACACGGATCGGGAAGAAAGGTATTCTTGCGAGGAATGCGGCAAAGTGTCCGGTAAGAAAGATAATATTACCAGACACAAGGCTGTGCACACTGATAAGAGGCACAAGTGTGAGGAATGTGGGAAATTGTTCCTTCACAAAGCTTACCTGATTCACCATAAAAATATTCACACGGGCGAGAAAAAGTACGAGTGTGATGAGTGTGGGAAGGCTTTCCTATGGAAGAGCAACCTGATTGACCATAAGGTATTCCACTCAGGTGTAAAGAAGTACGAGTGCAAGATGTGTGGAAAATTGTTCTTTCAGAAGAGCCAGCTTACCGAACATGAGCTTATACACACGGGTGAAAAAAAATATGAATGTGATGAATGTGGAAAACTATTTACACTGAGGAGATATCTCAACAAGCACAAGGCCAGTCACACAAGTGAGAAATACTTTGAATGCGAAGAATGTGGTAAACGGTTCTCTCGGAGTGGCTACCTTAACAAGCATAAGATCACCCACACTGGTAAGACAAGAGAGAAAAAGTACTCTTGCGAGGAATGTGGGAAACTGTATGCAAACAAGAATAGTCTCGAGTGGCATAAGGCCGTTCACTCGGACATAAGGTACGAGTGTGAAGAATGTGGGAAGCTCTTCCTTCATATGGCCTACCTTATTCAGCATAAAAATATCCACACACAAGAGAAAAAACACAAGTGTGATGAATGCGGTAAAGTTTTCCTTTGGAAGAGAAAACTTGTCGATCATAAGTTATCTCACTCAAATGAGAGATATGAATGCGAGATATGTGGAAAGCTGTTTTTGCATAAGAGATACCTCATGGAACATGTGGTAATTCACACAGGTGAGAAAAAATATCAGTGTGAGGAATGTGGAAAATTGTTTCTCTTGAAGAGCTATCTTAACAAGCATAAGGCTGTTCACACGGGTCAGAAAAAGCACGAGTGCAATGAATGTGAGAAGATTTTCACCAAGAAGAGTAGCCTAGACAAACATAAGACTGTTCATGAGAGTGAGCAGTATGAATGTTACATAGAGTGTGACATAGTGGACATGATGTGTTAAGCAACATTATTACATAGTGTCATAGCCCATGCCATAATGGGCTAACCATGCTGCAAGATGCATTTCCATCCACTCACATACAGAACCTACTCTTGCAAGCAATTTCCAATGGTTCCTTTGGCAACAAATTTAATTTGCATGTTGACCAAACCACACACTAGAAAGGGAAGAGGTGACGACGTTTTGGTCCATCTTGGACCATTATCAAGTCGATTGTGATAATCGACTTGATAATCGTCCACGACGGACCGAAACGTCGTCTCTTCACTTTCTAGTGTGTGGTTTGGTCAACATTTTTCAGCCACATTATTATGACTCCTCATCTGCTTAATCTGCATGCTATTTTCCAAAACTTAAAACAAAAAACTTTCATACAGTTTGAGAAACTTACGATAAATATAATTTTGTTGTATTATTAAGGGGTTAATTACATAAATTGGGAATGAACTGTAAAATATTAAATGAGAGTTTCTGTCAAGCTTTTGTTAACTGGTGGAGCAAATATTAAGTAACAACTGATTTTGTTTCAGAAATGTATAGTATTGCAAAGTTAACATCAATTCTGAAAGCATCAATTCAAGCTAAATGTCTTTTTATGAAAGTATTATTTCGTCTAATTTTAATCGAGTGAGTTTTCTTTTGCAGGTGTATTGTTATATGTGATACTGTATATATATGTAATTACATGTATAAATATTGTACAGAATATATTTTTACTGAAATATTTTGTTAACATTTAATGTTGTTGTGGCAGAGCCCTTTATATAAATTATTTAAAATACAGTACTTTGTCTCCTTTGTAGAATAACCTTTCAGATACAAATGCAAGTAAATGCAAGCACTGTATACCCAGTACTTGCATGCTTGTAAAATGAATAATTAAGTAATTTCATCAGACTAAAACTTCAGAGTAATTTCATACTTTACTAAGACATCAATGAACCTTCAAGTTCTGTTGTTGGGTGTAATGTGGTAGTCATGCCAGTGTGTGTATAGTTCTGTTGTTGGGTGTAATGTGGTAGTCATGCCAGTGTGTGTATAGTTCTGTTGTTGGGTGTAATGTGGTAGTCATGCCAGTGTGTGTATAGTTCTGTTGTTGGGTGTATTGTGGTAGTCATGCCAGTGTGTGTATAGTTCTGTTGTTGGGTGTAATGTGGTAGTCATGCCAGTGTGTGTATAGTTCTGTTGTTGGGTGTAATGTGATAGTCATGCCAGTGTGTGTATAGTTCTGTTGTTGGTGGTAGTCATGCCAGTGTGTATAGTTCTGTTGTTGGGTGTAGTGGTAGTCATGCCAGTGTGTGTATAGTTCTGTTGTTGGGTGTAATGTGGTAGTCATGCCAGTGTGTGTATAGTTCTGTTGTTGGGTGTATGTGATAGTCATGCCAGTGTGTGTATAGTTCTGTTGTTGGGTGTATTGTGGTATGTGGTAGTCATGCCAGTGTGTGTATAGTTCTGTTGTTGGGTGTATTGTGGTAGTCATGCCAGTGTGTGTATAGTTCTGTTGTTGGGTGTAATGTGATAGTCATGCCAGTGTGTGTATAGTTCATGCCAGTGTGTGTATAGTTCTGTTGTTGGGTGTAATGTGGTAGTCATGCCAGTGTGTGTATAGTTCTGTTGTTGGGTGTAATGTGGTAGTCATGCCAGTGTGTGTGTAGTTCTGTTGTTTATAAGGAAATGTAAAGATCAGTACATCACATTCATAACTGATAGTGAGAGTGAGGGAGTAAGCACTAGTAGAGATTCTTACAGAAAACCTTGGAGCCTGCACACCATCCACAATCAAGCCTCGGCAGCTAACAGTAAAAGCTGACCTTGTCAAGTACAGTAATTTTAGATTAGGTTAAATTAGGCTAGGTTAGATTAGGTAAATAAAAAAAATCATGTTGATCAAATGAGTATTAACTCCACCAAGGTAAGTTTAAATTTTGTATTGGTATTCAAATGTATATATTTTATAAAGATTCTCTCCTAACAATGTAAACATATGATTGTGGAAATACAAATTAGGTTGATGGTGTTACAAAGAAATTAGCAACTATGTTAATTTTCTTTACATTCCTTGTAAGTAAGTAATTATCAAAAGAAGGCACCAAACCGGGAAGGCTATGTAGCACCATCAAATGTGCGGAAGAATCAGAGGGCGCTAAATATCACCAAGGATGCCAATACGAGAACAGAAACGCATAAGGCGAACGATATCAAAAGTATCCGAGTCACCAAGAATTCTATTGAGGGACAGGCAACCGCGAGGGGCGGTCGGAAAGCAAGACACACGCTCGTCCTGGAAGTCAGGACATTCAAGAAGGACATGCACAACCGTAAGAGGGACAATGCAATTAGGACAAGGAGCAGGGCGGCGCTCCATCAAGTGACCATGGGTTAAGCGAGTATGGCCAATACGCAACCTCACCAGAGCTGTTTCCCATTGCCGGTTACGGTGGTAGGACGGCCACGAGGAAACACAACATTTAAGAGTACGTAGTTTGTTACCAGTAACAGACGACCAAGAAGCCTGCCAACGGGTAAGGATGGAGGAATGGATAACCGGGTAAAAGTCAGAATATGGAATACCTTTACGAGAGATGGGACAAGAGCGGACAGCTTCCTTGGCGGCAGCATCTGCACGCTCATTTGAAGACACACCAATATGGCTGGGAACCCAACAAAACTCAACCGACTTAAATTTACTGTGAACAAGAAACAGCCAATGCTGGATCTCGACAACTACTGGATGAACCGGATTAAAGGACCCAAGAGCCATGAGGGCACTACGCGAGTCAACAACAACTACAAAAGAAGACTGACAACGAGAAAGCAGGAGACGGAGAGCATAGAGAATAGCATAAAGCTCTACTGTAAAGATGCTAGTCTCCGGAGGTAAGTGACACATATAAGTGTGATCAGGAAAAACAACAGAGTAGTACATTCCTTGTAAGAAATGCGTGTTTGGGTGACTTGAATTGGGGTGTGTCATCCCCATGTGATATGAATTAGCAGGTGAATACAGAACAGTTAAACAAAAGGTTAAGTGATAAAAAAAATTTGTCAAGATTTTTGTAAAAATGTGCAGTCATGAAAAAACATAAGTTCTGATTATATTCAAACTATTTTTAGATACATCATTTCATGCTACAAGTTGATGGTATAATATATTTTGAGAATTCTGGACCTTTTGGGTTGTACTGTATCCTCTACATGCAGTTTGTGTGAAAGTTTTCTCCTCCCAGTGACTGTATAATAGTTGTGTTCAACTATGTAGGCATTAAAAACTTCTCTAGGCTTGTCTTCAGTAGCTTCTTGGTGCATTGGCCCAACACTTGCAGGCCTCTGGACTTGTGCAAGTCTACCAAACACCAGGATCATTATCTGGCTCCAGTAAAGGTTACTAAATGTGTGCGGGTGGGTACTGCTCCTCTATGCCCAACCACTTGGACTGGACGGTAGAGCGACTGTCTCGCTTCATGCAGGCCAGCGTTCAATCCCCGACCGTCCACAAGTGATTGGGCACTATTCTTCTTTCCCCCCGTCCCATCCCAAATCCTTATTCTGACCCCTTCCCAGTGCTATATAGTCATAATGGCTTGATGTGTTCCCGTGATAGTTCCTTCCCTCCCACCCCATCTTTCTGTTGGAGGCAGGAATCTTAAGAGACTGCCAGGATGATATCAAGACTATCTTAAGAGTGTCAGGACCACACTACTGTCCAAGTGGTAAGTGTACGAGACCTCTATGTATTCCTATATTTTCTTGTGACAGCCAGACCCTCTTCACTGTGATTGTACTTGGCCAAGTCTAATGTTCTTTAAATATGTCTCCTTCCTGAATGCCATGTGTGCGTTGTGCTTTTTAGGAGTTTGGTCTTAGAGATTTGACTTTCAGCCATGTGAATTCAGCCAGGTTGTACTGAATGGTGTTGAATGACACACTGTACCCAAATCCAGTTTTCCAGTTTTTTTAAACTTGATTACTTACATGATATCTAAAACAATACAAATCAAAGGAATCAGAAGGGAATTACAAATCATTATCATAATGAACCCTACAACAAGAACAAATGAATAATGTATTTACCCGAGGGCCACTAACACTAGTGGCCTCGATGAGGACAGGAAGCCGGCGGCTTATCAAAGGAATATACACGTTAGGCTTATATTGAGGTCACCCCCCCCCCCCCAAGTTTGAATTACTGATCCCTTCCCCCAGGCTGCAACCCCATAACATTCTGACTACCTCCTGGGTACTTATTTACTGCTAGGTGAACAGGGGGGTATTAGGCAATAGGAAAAACACCCTGTACACCCAAACATTTCGGTCCTACCCGGGATTCAAACCCGAAATTCCCGATTGTGTATCGAGAATGAACCCCACTACTACCGGGACCCTCAAAATGGAAAGAAAAATCTAATCTAAACTATCAATTTCAGCGCAAACCTAGAATATCTTCATAAAAACAAGAACAAAAATATTGCATACTTAAGCCAATAACTAAGCAGACAAGTCACAATAACGTGACTGAAGATATGATGACCAAACCGCACACCAGATGAAGAGACGATGACGTTTCAGTCCGTCTTGGACCATCATCAAGTCACATCCTTGGAAACACAAACCGAAACTGTCTCTTATTTTCCGCTAGTTACAACTTGTAATAAAGTTGTTACATCTTGGCTTAACGTGTTTATGACGTATTAGAACGTTGTAACAACTAGCTATATTGGTTGTTATAACGGGTTAGGAAGTGTTAAAGCGTGTTTGAATGTCGTAGTTTCGGTGTGTGTTTGGCGGGATGCAAGTCAAGTCATATGACTTTATAATGGTCCAGGACGGACCAGAAACATTGTGGTTTCCTCATCTTCTGGTGTGTAGTTTGGTCCCCAATAACTAAGCTGGTCCACAAAATCACTTGCAGTATCACAAGTCCCTCGAACTCAATCTGGATTTAGCCAAAAGTCTGAATGTGTAATTCACTACACAATTACATTCTGGGATAATTTCTACCCGACAACTTATATAACCAAGTTTTGTTGTCACTGACATTTATTTGTATTTTTTGTGCACTAGTTTTTATTTTTTATTTAGATATACAAGAGTTCTTACATTCTTGTACAACCACTAGGATGCATAGCATTTTGGGCAGGTCCTTAATTCTAATTTTCACACACACACACACACATCCCCAGGAAGCAGCTTGTAGCAGCTGTCTAACTCCCAAGTATCTATTTACTGCTAGGTAAACAGGGCATCAGGGTGAAAGAAACTCTGCCCTTTGTTTCCACCTCCGCCTGGGATCGACTGTGGACCCTTAGGACTACGAACCCAGAGCTCTGTCCACTCAGCTGTCACGCCCCCAGTAGAGTGAGAGTACACCATACTGCTCCTTGTAACCATCTTAACCTGAATGTTTAGACCATATGACCTTTCTACATAAAAAAATATTCTCGCCACAAATTGTGGGCAAAGTACAGAACATTCATCAAAACATTCATTGCTTTACATTCATAAAAAAATTTGTATGCTACGAAAAATGACAAAGAAACATTTAAAAAGTTTTCTACATCCTTTATGAAATACAAAAATAAATTATATTATGCACTACATATATGTTCCAGGCCATTATGTTATCATTAACTACATAATACAGGACTTACTACATTTGGAACTTAATACATAATACAGCATCTTATTGCATAAACAATAATTAAATTTTTTAAAGTGATCCAAATCAGCACGAGTACCCAATCTCTGTACATTTCTAACTTCTCAAATAAATGTTGACTTTGTACTGGGCATGTTTTAGGAATTACAAAACCATTCTCTGAAGATAAATGCATTACTGAAGGAATGAAAAACATGGATTAGTAAGTTCTATGGAAAAAGATTATTTACATATAAAAGTACTGCTTACAAAGGCATCAGAATAATTAAAACTACAGTATGTACTATATCTAGAATTAAGGTTCTCTGAGTATGTAAAAAAAAAAAAAAAGTTTGATATGTGTGCATATAGAGAGAAGAGTTAGCTGCAGGTGGGTGAGTGTGCGGGTGTAGGTGATAGGAAGTTCATTAAGAAGTGTGCGATTCTAACTCGGATAGTCCAACTAATTTCAGGTGTTTCTGACATTAAAACGGCATTTGAAAGCTTGTCAAAGAATTTCACATGCCAACCTTTGTTAACATTTGCCAGCAATGAGAAACTTTCTTGAGGGGGTAACGAGGACGGCCTCAGCAAATTTAAGTGCACATTAATCCACACATTCTTCATGGAAAAGGCCAGGGTAGTCTTAAGCCAGAGTGAAGGACAAGTACAAGTTATAACAAGGATGGAAACCCATTATGGAAGTACCCGAGGAGAAGTTGAAGCTTGATGAAACGGAAGTAAAGCAGAGGGACCAGACCAGACTTGGCTGTGGATACCAAAAATCCCTTAGACTAAAATATACATAATGTATCATTTGAAAACGGAGAGCTATTGGACACACGGAAGACTACACACATGTGGTGCTTGTGTCCAAGAAAGGAGATATATGAGGACTTTAAAGATCTGTCACCGAGTTTTAAATTTTGTACAACACTGGTAATCAGAAATAGGACTGTGGAACACTTGGAGGAGAGCTTACTTTGTAATTGAGATACAGCTTGCTTTTAGGAAGGAAAAGGTTTATCTTATTCCTGATTAAGTTTTACAAAAAGGTTGCAAAGATACATGAAAATAAATGTAGTGTTAATACAATGGATGGGGATTAATCTGCTGACAGCAATAGTTAACAAAAGCTTTCCGAAGAAAGTTTGCAAGAATGGCAAAGTCTGTAACATAACAGATGTGCAAGGCCCCTTAATCATTTGAAAACAAAATGCACAAAACCTCAGAATAAAGTGACAAGACAAGGTTAATCACATAACTAAATTAAAATGATTTACCATGAACTTCTTTTCAAAGCCAAGACCACAGCAAAGCCAGGTTTTGTTAGAAAATTTAGAGCACGCAACTCGCAACGCAGCTCATTTTGAACACAATTTACAGGAGAGTGAAACATGACGCTTAAAGAGCCATCAACTCTGATCCTCCTGTGTAGGTAGTACATACAGTAACAATGAGGACCATCATACACATATTGATGTAAAAGTCAAATAGAAAGTAGAAATCGGTATTATTACATTTGGACAAACCGGAAAGCTTCTTGTTCTGACGATGCAAAGAAAACTTTGCCTTGCCTAACCTTTCTAGGCTTAATATAGTACATATATGTACTGTACTAGGTCTAGAAATATTTAAGTTTGGTCTTTAGCTATATTTTTCTCAAACTCTATAAATACTACCAAATTCTTCGATCTAATTATCCATTATGTCTATGCATGTACGATGGTCCAGTTACAAAAGGTACTATCTGAACACGAGGCTGGGTTGTCTGACCTGGATGAGAAGCCAATACATACACACAGGCACCTGGAAGAGCCTGCTGTTAGTACAGCCACTGAACACCATCATCCAGTGCTTTGCTTAAGTGAGATAAACACAATACTCTAGTACAGTATATTACACTAAACTTCATAAAACCTCATCCGAAGCATAATGTCTGGACATACTGTACAGGCTCACCCTTTAGTAGTCCTATATATTTAAATGATTAATTCTGCTGCCACACACAATAAATGAGATAAACTCACATACATAATGGAACTATTTCATGTCTAAGAGGCATTGTCGAGTGTAAAGAGTAGCAAGTAAAATTGAAATGTAAAAACATCAGTGAAGATATAATGCATTAATCATAAAAATATGCATATATACAATACAAACTAAACATGCCCACTAAAGCATACAGCAGCACCACCCAGCTCGGCAAAACTAACCGTACAGTATTTTCAAAATTGGAAGGAGGGAAGGAAAGGGGGGGGGGGGGAGAAAAGAGATAAGAGAGAAGAGGAGAGAAAAGAAAGAGAGAGAGAGAGAGAGAAGAAGAGATCCTACGGTTAGCAAGGTTGACATGGCATACTATATATATGGCATGAGTATAGCTGGTAAATATCACTGGCATATAAAGGCTCTACCTAAACTGACCTTTAACTAGAGGTTGACAAACCCGTCACCGAAGGCCCCAGACTGAACCGACCTTTAACTACATACAACACAACAGTGCCCAACCCATCCTCCAAAAGTGATAACACACACACAGCTACAGTACGGTACTATGGATGAAACGTACAAAATATGGACCAATATATCCAAATAAAGATCACATTTTGTATTAGTGCCTGTTGTTGTTGTTATAGGTACAGCTACTCAGAACAAGTTCCAAGTAGCACGGGCTATGGTGAGCCCGTAATGCAATTCTAAAGGGCATAAAAAGGAAAAGGTTAAACCATAAACTTAACATGCCTTAGGTTTCTAAATAAGCCACTTTTAGACCTAATTTAGTACATATACGTACTATACTAGACCTAGGAACAGTTAGGCTTAGTTGTTGCTTTCTTTCTTGCCTTCAAAATTACAGTAATCACACAAACTGTGAACTTCTGGCTCTTGTGAACAGTCAATATTATGTACATTCCATTAATTGCAGCTATACATACTGTGTATTATTTTTGGGAGGATGTATTGTCAGTTACTGGCAAAGCCCCAAACAAGGAAAGTCACTACCAGGTCCTGTTTAACAGGACCTGACCTGACCTGTCCTGTCTGCTGGAGAGTTGTTACACACCTGCTCACTCTCTACACCTGGCCCACAGTTGTCCCACACCTGCTCACTCTCTACACCTGGTCCAGAGTTGTCACACACCTGTTCACTCTCTACACCTGGCCCATAGTTGTCACACACCTGCCCACACTCTACACCTGGCCCAGAGTTGTCACACACCTGCTCACTCTCTACACCTGGTCCAGAGTTGTCACACATCTGCTCACTCTCTACACCTGGCTAACACACTAACTAGCAAGCCAATCTTTCTCACCAGGAAGACGAGTTTAACGCAGGTGTCAATGGCCCTTCACATCAAGACATTTGAGCACATTGGCCCATGGAACTAAAGGACTGGCAGCCTCCAGTATTATGAAACCTCATAAACAAGATGAGCTCCGACTTTACTTCCTCGTCTCCCAGCTGACATAGAACGTATGGCGTCTAGCAAGCCTCGTACAGTCATCCACAGGAGAGCCCAGGGCACTCCTGTGTTTCCCGGTGGCAAGCTGCTTTTGACCTAGCCACATCATGATGCAGTTTCGGCACAAGGTCAGACACTGAAACCAGATCGGCCTTTACTCTCTGGTCAGTAACAAGATGACCTGGCCACATCATGATGCAGTTTCGGCACAAGGTCAAGACACTGAAACCAGATCGGTATTTACTCTCTGGACAGTAACAAGATGACCTGGCCACATCATGATGCAGTTTCGGCACAAGGTCAGACACTGAAACCAGATCGGCCTTTACTCTCTGGACAGTAACAAGATGACCTGGCCACATCATGATGCAGTTTCGGCACAAGGTCAGACACTGAAACCAGATCGGTATTTACTCTCTGGTCAGTAACAAGATGACCTGGCCACATCATGATGCAGTTTCGGCACAAGGTCAAGACACTGAAACCAGATCGGTATTTACTCTCTGGACAGTAACAAGATGACCTGGCCACATCATGATGCAGTTTCGGCACAAGGTCAAGACACTGAAACCAGATCGGTATTTACTCTCTGGACAGTAACAAGATGACCTGGCCACATCATGATGCAGTTTCGGCACAAGGTCAGACACTGAAACCAGATCGGCCTTTACTCTCTGGACAGTAACAAGATGACCTGGCCACATCATGATGCAGTTTCGGCACAAGATCAGACACTGAAACCAGATCGGTATTTACTCTCTGGTCAGTAACAAGATGACCTGGCCACATCATGATGCAGTTTCGGCACAAGGTCAGACACTGAAACCAGATCGGCCTTTACTCTCTGGTCAGTAACAAGATGACCTGGCCACATGAACTAATAAATCAGAATAAACAAAATATGTTATTTTCAAGCATTTTCACCTAAAGTAGAAACTGTCACAAAAATATAAACTGAACAGCATTGAAGGAATTTTTAATTTAAATTTCACGCTTGAAACACGAAATTGCAGAAGCCTTTGTTAGATAAAATCTACTCTGGATATGGGGTTTTAACTACTGTACACTATGTGAATGCTTGGAGCTTCCATGCTGTATTTGCATTTCTCAAATGTTATCTAATAAAAAATAAATTTCTATTGTTCAAAGTAGAAATTTGTTTCAATTTTTTTTCCACATTTTTATTCCACTAAAGATAAATAAAAATAAAAAGTTATACTGCATTAACCAAAATGAACACATTCCAAATTTAAGCGACTAATCACGACTATTTTATAAAGAACTACTACAACCCAATAAACGTACATCGTTCCAAATGACTTTATCTTATCTTTAACTATTACACAAAGTACACTTAAAATATCACCCCTTTAATAAAGAATACGGCACACATCTCATGGACTTGCAGATCAGAATAACATCTGTACAACCTTCTATACACACGCACCTCCCTAGTGTCACTTGGTGTAGAGATGTTGCAAAACATTCACAATACATGCTGCAAATTACAAGTTGTTGCTAGAGAGAATGAACTACTGCACTAAATACTTAATGTACACTTGCAAATGAAGATCACAGAACAAAATTCTAGATCAAACTGGTCTTGCCATCATGCTCATAATGGAACTGATGTCGTTCCCTTGTCCTGGCAAAATAGCCACATAAAATTTATAGATATCTCTCTCTCTCATGCATAGTTTTCATTTATCTCTCACTGATCAACACAGCTCTCATCCACATCTTTATGTATTCAGATTATCCTACCTGATCAAACTATACAAATGGTCATTACAAAAGCCTATAGAAGTTTTCTTAGATCAGCTCCAGATAAACAAACTCGGCTGATGCCATATGGAGCCTTCAGGCTAGGTCACGACCTTGTGCCTGGAGAAAGATACACCGCAAACTTGCATGACCTTGTACTGTACCCGGAGAATGGCACACCCCAGACTAGGTCATCACCTTGTGACTAGACTAGTCGGCATAATAGTATTCCTAACATTCTGGCCAAGATGTCTCCCCTTGTGGACCTCTACGTTTGCACCAGTGGTAGCCAAAACGCTTTCCCGTGTACTAGTACTGGGCAAGACTATTACAATGCGAGAGGAAAGCCATCTTGCCCACAATCTTTGTTTTGGGGAAATATTTTGCCAACCTCTAGTATAGAACAAGGCACTTTGCCAACTACTACTGTAGCCTACCACTGGTGTAGAGCACGGCACCTTACCCACCACTAGTGTAGAGCACGGCACCTTACCCACCACTAGTGTAGAGCACGGCACCTTACCCACCACTAGTGTAGAGCACGGCACCTTACCCACCACTAGTGTAGAGCACGGCACCTTACCCACCACTAGTGTAGAGCACGGCACCTTACCCACCACTGTGTAGAGCACGGCACCTTACCCACCACTAGTGTAGAGCACGGCACCTTACCCACTAGTGTAGAGCACGGCACCTTACCCACCACTAGTGTAGAGCACGGCACCTTACCCACCACTAGTGTAGAGCACGGCACCTTACCCACCACTAGTGTAGAGCACGGCACCTTACCCACCACTAGTGTAGAGCACGGCACCTTACCCACCACTAGTGTAGAGCACGGCACCTTACCCACCACTAGTGTAGAGCACGGCACCTTACCCACCACTAGTGTAGAGCACGGCACCTTACTCACCACTAGTGTAGAGCACGGCACCTTACTCACCACTAGTGTAGAGCACGGCACCTTACCCACCACTAGTGTAGGGCACGGCACCTTACTCACCACTAGTGTAGAGCACGGCACCTTACCCACCACTAGTGTAGAGCACGGCACCTTACCCACCACTAGTGTAGAGCACGGCACCTTACCCACCACTAGTGTAGAGCACGGCACCTTACCCACCACTAGTGTAGGGCACGGCACCTTACTCACCACTAGTGTAGAGCACGGCACCTTACCCACCACTAGTGTAGAGCACGGCACCTTACTCACCACTAGTGTAGAGCACGGCACCTTACTCACCACTAGTGTAGAGCACGGCACCTTACCCACCACTAGTGTAGGGCACGGCACCTTACTCACCACTAGTGTAGAGCACGGCACCTTACCCACCACTAGTGTAGGGCACGGCACCTTACTCACCACTAGTGTAGAGCACGGCACCTTACCCACCACTAGTGTAGGGCACGGCTCCTTACCCACCACTGGTGTAGAGCACGGCACCTTACTCACCACTAGTGTACCTTACCCACCACTAGTGTAGAGCACGGCACCTTACCCACCACTAGTGTAGAGCACGGCACCTTACCCACCACTAGTGTAGAGCACGGCACCTTACCCACCACTAGTGTAGAGCACGGCACCTTACCCACTAGTGTAGAGCACGGCACCTTACCCACCACTAGTGTAGGGCACGGCTCCTTACCATACACAAGTGGTGGGAAAGATGTCTACTTATGGTTTCCACTGTTGAGGAGAGTAAGACTTTTAGCATTTTGCCCACTGCTCAACCAGCAGAGGGCAAGGTTCCTCTCCCTCAACCAGCAGAGGGCAAGGTTCCTCTCCCTCTACCAGCAGCGGGCAAGGTTCCTCTCCCTCAACCAGCAGCGGGCAAGGTTCCTCTCCCTCTACCAGCAGCGGGCAAGGTTCCTCTCCCTCAACCAGCAGTGGGCAAGGTTCCTCTCCCTCTACCAGCAGTGGGCAAGGTTCCTCTCCCTCTACCAGCAGCGGGCAAGGTTCCTCTCCCTCTACCAGCAGCGGGCAAGGTTCCTCTCCCTCAACCAGCAGCGGGCAAGGTTCCTCTCCCTCAACCAGCAGCGGGCAAGGTTCCTCTCCCTCAACCAGCCTTGGGCAAGGTTCCTCTCCCTCTACCAGCAGTGGGCAAGGTTCCTCTCCCTCAACCAGCAGCGGGCAAGGTTCCTCTCCCTCTACCAGCAGTGGGCAAGGTTCCTCTCCCTCAACCAGCAGTGGGCAAGGTTCCTCTCCCTCAACCAGCAGCGGGCAAGGTTCCTCTCCCTCAACCAGCAGTGGGCAAGGTTCCTCTCCCTCAACCAGCAGTGGGCAAGGTTCCTCTCCCTCAACCAGCAGCGGGCAAGGTTCCTCTCCCTCAACCAGCAGTGGGCAAGGTTCCTCAACCAGCAGCGGGCAAGGTTCCTCTCCCTCAACCAGCAGTGGGCAAGGTTCCTCTCCCTCAACCAGCAGCGGGCAAGGTTCCTCAACCAGCAGCGGGCAAGGTTCCTCTCCCTCTACCAGCAGCGGGCAAGGTTCCTCTCCCTCAACCAGCAGTGGGCAAGGTTCCTCTACCAGCAGCGGGCAAGGTTCCTCTCCCTCAACCAGCAGTGGGCAAGGTTCCTCTCCCTCTACCAGCAGCGGGCAAGGTTCCTCAACCAGCAGCGGGCAAGGTTCCTCTCCCTCAACCAGCAGCGGGCAAGGTTCCTCAACCAGCAGCGGGCAAGGTTCCTCTACCAGCAGCGGGCAAGGTTCCTCTCCCTCTACCAGCAGCGGGCAAGGTTCCTCTCCCTCAACCAGCAGCGGGCAAGGTTCCTCTACCAGCAGCGGGCAAGGTTCCTCTCCCTCTACCAGCAGCGGGCAAGATGCATGCCAATACACTAGTGAAGATCAGCCGCAGAACAGAACACCGTGCACATTCACAAGCAATACAAATGTATAAAATTATGTAATTTAAAATATAAATAAATTAACCTAGAAAAGGTTTTATCTTCATATACACATGTACAAAAATATGAAAAACCTCATTACACAATTTGGAATATTTTATATTGAAAAAATGAACAATTTGTTTTGAAAAAGCAGCTGCACTCCACAAAGGATTTCCATACATATTTCCATACATATTTCATACATATAGGCAACAAATACATTCACCAACATTTCAGTATCAGTGTATCATATACAGTTCATGAATGTGAGTATAATTTGTATATTATAAAATATAGCTGCACTTTATCAAACCATATCAGTCAAAATATTCCTAAGTAATTAGCCACAGAACAAAAGACAAAAAGAATTAATAGTTTTCACGTACTCTAAGAGTGACAGGTCCCTAAGGCAAGGTTTCAGAGAACAGCACACAATAACACATTACAACAAGGTACATCACCACAAGCTTCACATTGTAATCTTATTTCCAAAGTTTGTGACTTGGTCCATCACAGCACAAGCATGTCTCGCCACGTACCTGTCTTCCAGCCCTTGTGACGAGGCAGAGAGGAGGAGGAGGAGGAAGGGAAACTGGGAGAGAAATAGTGGCAACATGAGACCCCTCGCCCCTTCAGGGCTGCGGGGAGGGTAGACCCCTCGTCCCTTCAGGGCAGGGGGAGGGTAGACCCCTCACCCCTTCAGGGCTGGGGGAGGGTAGACCCCTTGCCCCTTCAGGGCTGGGGGAGGGTAGACCCCTCACCCCTTCAGGGCTGGGGGAGGGTAGACCCCTCACCCCTTCAGGGCTGGGGGAGGGTAGACCCCTCGCCCCTTCAGGGCTGGGGGAGGGTAGACCCCTCGCCCCTTCAGGGCTGGGGGATGGTAGACCCCTCGCCCCTTCAGGGCTGGGGGAGGGTAGACCCCTCGCCCCTTCAGGGCTGGGGGAGGGTAGACCCCTCGCCCCTTCAGGGCTGGGGGAGGGTAGACCCCTCGCCCCTTCAGGGCTGGGGGAGGGTGCACAATTATGAGGTCACACCTCATCCCATCTTCAAGACAATGACGAAAATACATTAACCTACAGACGTTTCAATATTACCTTTCTCTGAATAATACAATGGGCCATGCTAATTAAACAAATCAATAGCTATGTTACTTTTTTCAAATTCAAAAATTCAACGTGAAAAAATAATCAGTGCCATATATATATAGGTAATGATAAAATTTTCTGTAAAATTGATCAGTGATAAACAAGGTGGATTTTGTGATGGAAGATTCAATAGTCAACCCTCCAAAATCTGTACCTCCAAATAGCAGATTCATCCAAATAACAGACCAAATCCAAATTCTGTAACCAGCTGTGAAATTTGACCATGTAGCATAATTTTCAAATATTTGTTTACTATTTACACGGGTATGAGTTTAGATGGAAGAGTTAATGAGTAACTAGTTTGATATTTCTGAAGGTGTACATCAGGGTCGTGCGAGGTCACCCTCGTCAACACACACAGGACCGATTCAAAATCAAGGTTCCCAGGTTCAATTTCTGGGCGAGACTGAAGTGGTTGGGTACGTTTTCTCTCACCAAACATTAAATAGATGCTCGGGAGTTAGACAACTGCTGTGGGGGGTTGCATCTTGGGGGAGGGTCAGTAGTTCGAACTTGGGGAGGACCTCGATACAAGCCTAAAGTATATACATACACAGGCTTCCTGTCCCCAACAACACACATTAACACATGAATGGTGTCATGATGGAGGTCCAGGTAAGTGTGTTAGAAGAGGGTTTAACCTTAATGAATAAGCCTGGCTAATGATAGTACTGTACACCTTCATTTCTGATCTATGTACTACACTATACAGTTCTTTAGCAAAGAATTATTATTATTTTGTATGCTGTGCCATAATTACTTTTCATCACCAAAACAAGTACAATAATTAAACTCGTTCAATATGGCATAGTAAAATATTTTTTATTATCATCTGTAAATATTATTCGGCTTCTGCCATTTACAAGTGAAGTGCAAATGCTTATAAGAATACAAGATGTGTACCTTGGTCCTTGTTTCTTGAGGTTATCTTGAGGTTATCTTGAGATGATTTTGGGGCTTTTTAGTGTCCCCCCGGCCCGGTCCTCAACCAGGCCTCCACCCCCAGGAAGCAGCCCGTGACAGCTGACTAACACCCAAGTACCTATTTTACTGCTAGGTAACAGGGGCATAGGGTGAAAGAAACTCTGCCCATTGTTTTTCGCCAGCGCCCGGGATCAAACCCGGGACCACAGGATCACAAGTCCAGTGTGCTGTCCGCTCGGCCGACCGGCTCCCGTTTGAGAGGTGAGAATGTAATGGGTCATTGGATGATGCACTTCTACCGGCTACTTCAGCTTGGCCTTCAACTTGGACACTGTCATATCCACAAACATAGCATACTAGCTCCAATTTCAATGATAAGAATATCTTAATGTTATTTGTACAAGTGGATTTTTGGATTAAAATGATTCATTTGTTTTTAAGATGAGAGTTCTGCAACGAATATGAATGATCTGACTAGAAGTGCCCCTGATCATGTTAGACAGGAAAAAGAGGGTGATGGGTTAGGCCTACAACATTGTACAGTATTTGCAGACTTCCTCTGGACCCAATACACATTTGTCATTACCCAGTGGGGATGAACATTTCCTCCCTATATCCATCCTGCAATAGGGTTCTAAAACCCATTCCTTCGTGCCACTTTCTTGCCACACCTTTTCCCAGCTGCACCTTTCCCTAACTGGAATGTCCTCTAGCCACAGCTATTTTCCTCAAGTAACTCACTAACTTCAACTTTACTTGCCCAAACAAACTTATCAATAAGGCAGCTTCAGTACTCTTATCATCTTATCTTGAGGTTATCTTGAGGTTATCTTGAGATGATTTCGGGGCTTTTTAGTGTCCCTGCGGCCCGGTCCTCGACCAGGCCTCCACCCCCCAAGAAGCAGCCCGTGACAGCTGACTAACACCCAGGTACCTATTTTACTGCTAGGTAACAGGGGCATAGGGTGAAAGAAACTCTGCCCAATGTTTCTCGCCTGCGCCTGGGATCGAACCCAGGACCACAGGATCACAAGTCCAGCGTGCTGTCCGCTCGGCCGACCGGCTCCCCCCGGTTTAAGAATACCATCACCTAGATATCACAGTTTCCTACAAGCTGTGCCATTACTCCACTGTGCTTCCATCAACATTCACCAGTTTTCTCCCATACACAATAAAACCTGTGACTATTCTACAGGATATACAGGACCGTCATTCTCTACTGGAACGGCATTGCCTGCATACATCAAATTTGATATAATATACTTTCTGTATCATTATCATACATGCTCACACTACCAGCATTACTGAACACATCTCTGATGTACATGTATACTTAAGAGTGTATTACACGCCTTTTCCACTCTTAATGCAAATGGTGAATCCAAACAATGCAAGTTCTTCTGTCAAGAAATCCACCTTGTTCATCAATGGCCAGTTTTATATTTTCTGTAGGCTTCTGATCCATAGACTCCTACACACACTACAGTACTCTCCTGTTGTTGTTAAAGATTCGCTACCTAGAACAAAAAGTTCCAAGTAGCACGGGCTACGGTGAGCCCGTGATATATATAGTACTCTCCTGCCCAGACACTACTCTCGTACCCCCACACTACTCCCTTGCCCACACATCCTTAAGAAAATTTTCCACTTGGGTGCACACTGGCTAGCTGCCTTCCCTGCAGCCTAAACACCTTTCACACTTATCAGTTTCTTAATATAAAAGTATTTGAACAGTTTATGAATATCTAAATTACTGTTCGGTGAACTCTTAAAAAGTAGTCATCTTTCAACACTGGTTACGCTTCAGTAAGGAATGTCCTAAAGAAATTCCCACTTCGTCTGAAAACCCATCAAATTGAACAGTTTTGGGAACAACTTTATCAAGGCAATTATTACAATCAACTACACTAAGTCATACAATACAAAAATTCATATGCAAAAACTCGTAACCGACTTGCTTATTATTACCGATGGTCCAGGTGCAAAACATCAATTTGCAATCCACTTAGTTCCAGAAACTTCCAGAAATTTGTGCACATTTATAGTGTCAACATGTCTTTCCTCTCACTATAGACTCCTACTTCTTTCTTGTGTAGTGTAAATATTATAATCATTCATGTCTACTTGTATCTATTGCACCACGACCAATACTACAGTTTGCTTGCTTCCATCTTCATATATGAAATTTTTTATCAATATTTTTTTCAGTGAAACCCTTTCACTGCATCAGTCTGAGGTCATTTCCAGATACTTAACAAAGCTGCCACCTGCTCTGTCCAATGAGTCAAAGAGTTTGTGACTTTTGCCTAGTAAATTAAAGCAGGCCAATAATTTGAGTATTTTAGTTTTTCCCAACATAAAGAATTCTCATTTACAGGCCATTTTGTCAAGTCATGTAATAAGTGCTTTTGAAGGAATCACAAAGTCTTCCCAGATACATGAAAGAGAGAATGTCCTCTGCTGGCACTGGGAGGGCAATGAAGCCTTCACTGTTGATTCATGAGGTACTCTCTTCAACAGTCTGCTGTGATTAACCTGAGGGTCACAAAGTCCCAAGAGGACAGGTTAAGGTCACACGCATTGTCCCGAGGTCACATAATGTCACACGTATCTGTCAAGATGCTGCTGGAAGTTGGTGAGGTAGATGACAAGCTCTTCAACAGTAGGTCGTTCTCTTGGAGCCGTCGTCCAACAAAATGTCATTGCCTTGAACCTGAAAACATTGAAAAAAAAAAAATTAAATAAATAACACACACCAACATTTCTATGACACACATTCTTGGGGATTCTTAAAAGCTAAACAACACCAGCCAACCTGAGTATGCATCAAATCACAATGAGTGGCCTATGGGTCCAGGGTAGACTGAAATTTCATCACTTTTCTTTATTTTCATGTGTGTGGGTTGGTTCATAACCTGTGTATGATTCTATAAAATCCCATGCTCCTAAGTTTCCCCCCTACTTGACCCCATATGTATTTTCATTACAATCATAGTTTCATCAACTTCTCATGGAAGTGCCACCATGAAGAAAACAAAATGGGGTCTGCCATTCTTCCATTACAAGCATCCTCACATTGTGAATGGTTGAGAAATGCTCATTTCCTTGCTTGCAAGTTTCCTAGCTGTACTAGTTTAATCAACCTGCAAGATTTCCCAAACTTGCACATTGCACCAAGCCTACTTGAAAACTGGACAAGTTTATGTTGACCAGACCACACACTAGAAGGTGAAGGGATAACATTTCGGTCTGTCCTGGACCATTCTCAAGTTGATTGAGAATGGTCTAAAGGCAGTTTACATAACTGCCTTTAGAAACTTGTGCTAGAAACCATTCAGAACCTTGTATGCCAAATATATTGGACTAATCTTGGAGTATGTGATTCCAATGTGGACTCCATATCTAGTTAAACATGACAAGAAGTTGGAGATAGTTCAGAGGCATGTCTAAACCTCTCATCACTGGAAGACACGAGTTACCAGAGACATCCTTACAAGATTCTCCGAGGATTTGACAGGGTAGATAAAGAAACTGTTAATCATGGGTACATGAACATGAGAGACAGGTGGAAATTAGTACCCAAATGAGCCACAGAGACATTAGGAAGTGATGTGGTGGAGGAAGACTCTTATACACCGTTTCAAATACACCAGTTGTTTGATGGTTGAAAGGTGGGACCAAAGAGTAGAAGCTCAACCCTCTCAAGCACAACTAAGTGAATACAACTAGGCAAGTATTTATCGCAACCCTACACATACTGTAAGAGCTCGGTATTCCAAATTCGAGTAACCAGAGTTCATAATTTTAGAGTGAACAGTAGGAATAAGCAGATAAAAAGCAAAAGTAATTGGTCTGTGGTACAAAAAAGTTGAACTTTTTTATTTTTGGACATTTCTGGTAAGAAAATCTGCCAAGTGAAATGTTTGGCTAATTCAGGTGATAGTGGGTTTTCAGTAATCCAAAATCTTATGGTAATCCATATGATTTACAATACCAAGCAGAGACACTACAGTATTTCCAAGCCTACACGTATCTCTACAACAGAAAATATTGAACAAATCATCTTGTTTAAATTGCAGTCTTTGTCCCATCTCTCAATCAAATTTAATCCACTTGTTTTTAGTCATTGTGTCAGCATCCATCATTTACTTTGCTTACACTCTACTGTCATTGTATGATGATCAATCTCCACTGCAAGTGTACCCCGCTTGAGCTACCTCTAGTATGTCAACAATTTAGTCGTCTCTTGCAGTAGAATACTTACAGTTCATCAGGGCAGTTGATGGGTTGAGCGAGACGCACGCCTTGACGCAGGACAGCCGACATCTCAAATGGATCAATTTCAGCATACGGCTGCTGGCCCAAAGTCATCACTTCCCAGAGCAGAACGCCCCACGACCACTGCCAGAGTAGAAAATTGAGACTAAACCTTCAAACACATACATAAACTTGTCAAGAATAAATAAAATTCAAAGACTACCATATATCTGATAAATTAGATGCATCACATTCCACCATGAAAAATCAACTTCCTCCAGTTCAAGATTCACCTTTGGATTAGGTCTTAGGAGCAGGTTAGACTTTAGGGAAAACTACAATTATTTCGTTGACCAGACCGTCATCTTTCAAGTCATCGACTTGAGAATGGTTCAGGACGGCCCGAAACATCGTCGTACCTTCACTTTCTAGCGTGTGTGGTCTGGTCAACATACTTCAGCCACGTTATTGTAACCCTACTATTTCCTAAGTGAGGAACCAAAGTTTATAATGGTGTCAAGGGCCCACTGAAGTTGATGTATCTTCTTCCACTCGAGCATATTGTGGATGGAAAAAATTACTGCATAGTTTGCAGGGATGAGACAAGAGAAGCACCTCGTCCTCTGGTGTAGCAGTTACCACCAGTAGCACAGTACTTCACCTTCTGCAGCAGCAGCAGCAGCAGACACCACCTACATGAGGAGCACCTTACCTCCTACAGTAGCTGCCACCATCACCAGCTTGAGAGGTACCCTTCTCCTCATGTAATTACCTAAGTGAAGTTACAGGATGAGAGCTACACTTGGTGTCTCATCTTCCCAGTACTCTTTGTCGTACAACAGTTTGAAACTACAGACGGTTTTCCTCTCCACCACCTTTTCTCACTTGGTTTGTTCCAACCGTCTACCACTCTGCTTGCAAAAGAAAACTTGTTAATATTTTTTTTGGCACCTTTGTTTCCTTAGCTTGAATCTGTGTCCTTTTGTTTGTGAAGTTGCTGGTTTCAGATTTTCCTCTTTTTCAATTTGGTCGATTCCTATTAGTACCTTGTAAGTGGTGATCATATCTCCTCTTCTATCATCTAGTTTTGGAATGTTTAACGCCTCTAGTGTCTTCTCGTACCTATTGTTTTTTTCAGTTCCGGAAGCCATTTTGTAACATGCTGTTGCAACTTTCCTAGTTTATTTGTGCGCTTCTTGAGATGACTTCTTGTGTGACAGTCAACACTAGCAGAGGCATCTTCAAACATCATCTTCCATAATTTAAGGAATGACACATGGAAAAATTTCCCTACACAGTTATGACAAAAGTAATCACACTCTCAATGTCTCTTAAATCTCTAGTACTGTCTCTTGGCCCTGAACAGACAACCTCCAGTATAAATGTCATCATAAATTATACATCTCTCTAAATCTCCACCAATGTATATTTTCTTTAATATCTCATCTTCCATTGATATGTACAACATCATGTACAACTGTTGGCATCGACTTGTTCTACCCATCACCTCGAATATCTACCCTCCCTCTATCGCTGTCTATAAATATCTGACAACACATTACCAGCAAGGATTGAGTAGTCACCACATTGTAAGCAGTTTACCTGAATGTTCAACCTCTTGTTACCTAAACACTTCAGTGACCAAAACACTTGAAATTCTTATAATTTGTGGATAATCATATGTTAGAGATTATCTTGTGTGTCAATAACCAAGTCAGCCAGTCAAGTAGTGAATCAGCCAGAGAACAAATACAAGTAATAAATCTACAGAACGCAATACTCACGACGTCAGATGCCGGGGTGAAAACCTTGTGTGCGAGGCTCTCCATAGCCAGCCACTTTATGGGCCTGTTTTCATTATCCCCGAGGCAGTGGTAATCAGCGGGGTACAGGTCTCGCGCCAGGGCACAGTCCGTCAGCTTCACACGTAAACCCTCATCAACTCTGAAACACAATTTAAGTTACTGGCATTTTAATAATAATTGAAAAACTTTATTTAACAAATGCAGTAGTTACAATTATCCAAAACTAGATTACCAAATCTAGTTATGTTAGCTAAAACAAGGCTAATCTGAACATCTAAATAATTTTGAATGATGGGTGGAATATTGTTGCACACTAACATCCCTATTTAAAGCCGGAGAAATTGCTGACCTGGCGAGCATGCCAAAAACTTTCATTGCTAGAATCTACTCTATAAAACATCTAAATTATTGGACCCAATTAACAAATTTTTAATCTGCATTCTCTAGAATGCAGGCAAGAGAAATTTGTAACAATTTACACTAGGAAACTATCAGAGGACCTAGTTCCAAATCTGCACATGAAAATAACACCACATAAGACCAGGAGGCATGGCAGGATGTGCAAAATAACTCCATTGCAAAGCAGAGGTGCAACATGTATGCTGAGAGAAAACTATCAACATCACTGGCCCAAGACTTTTCAGCACACTCGCTACACATAATGAGTATAACTGGCCGGCCTCTCAGTGTTCAAGAGAGAACTGTATACTGAACTTCTAAAGGATGCCTGATCAATCAGGCTGTGCCTTCCATTCATAGACTGTGAATCATATGTCAGGCAGCCTCCTCCAACAGCCTGGTTGACCAGACGACCAGCACAGAGAGGCCTGGTTCGAGACCAGGCCAAACGGACGTTGGTCCTTGGAACCACAACAAGGAAGGTGGCCACAAGGTAGCCTCATTGGGGGGTTACAATGTTTCGGTGCAAATTACACAATATTTTGTACCAAAAACTAATTTGTGGTATTTCCCATTGTCAAGAACAGGATACCTGCTAGGCCTAATGAGGACTTATTGAGCCAACAGCAAAATTGTCCCCCATGCTACCCAACCAGCGACTGGCTGGTTAGTACTACCCAGTAGTATTGCACCAACGGACCAATTGATGACACACCACTGAAATCAAAGATAAACTTAAAAAAAATATATGAAAACCCATTAGAGTGTAAGTAAACCTTGATGTAAATATGAGTAATTCCTTTCTGACCAGGTCACATGGTTGCTCACTAAAGTAAGATAATTTCAGAGTCCATTGAACAAGGCAGGTGAACATTGTACACCAGTGCCACAGGGATGTCTTCAAAATAATCTCAAAGGGTCATACATGTATTTGCTTGTTATTCATGAATACTTGCTTGTTATTCATGGTCATTATATCTTCAGCCACATTATTGTGACTCGTCGTCTGCATGTGATTCCGGGACAATGGAAGCCAGTAAAGATAATCCCAGGCTTTAACAGCCGGAGCAATCTATCAATTCAGGGAACTCAAGGTACGGAAGGTTTATGGCTCGGAACACATGTGAAATACTACAAGGAACAGTAGCAATGGCTCCACCAGGACATAGTTCCAGGAATAGCCAACATCACTGATGTCAAAGAACAGAGTATAAATCAGACATGCACCAGGCTTATGAATGACCTGGACACCATCCAGTGGAGAGTGAGGGTTATTAGGCAATGATATTGCTGCAGTATCAACTTGATACCTGCTTGATGGGGTTCTGGGAGTTGTTCTATTCCACAAGCCCAACCTGAGGCCAGGCTTGAGAACTGTTTATATTATCACCATCAAGGCTGCAAATGCTTCCAAGCAGTTGCTGGTTTTGGAGCACTGGTTCGCATTCTGGTGGATTTTCCTCGGTTCTGTGGTTATCTCTAATCCCCACACTCTAGTAAGCCTCTTTAAAGAGGCCAGATTTTGGTCTTGTTCCTTGATAGGTGCTCGTAGATGCTCAAGAGGTCTAAGTGTTTTACAAGGCTTGCATGTTTTCAGATTACAGCATCAGGGAGCTATTTAGAGCCAACCAGAAAGAAGCTTTTCATTATATTCAACGCTGCATTACAGTCAACGCATGTTCTTCAAAAATGACCAAGATAAAGTAAGCTCATGCAGCAACATATGGCAAATTGCATCTAATGTTACAAATGCCATGTAATGGAGTGCAGAGTAAGTGAAACAGGTCACAATCGTCTTACAAATTATGTGAAAAATAGATTCTAAATAACTTGGCAAGAGAAGAAGTTTAGGTGATCCTTGATATTAAATCCTCACCATGGGACATTATCATCACAAAATAAAGACACACCTAAATATGACTATTCAGCAGTTGTATGGTATTCACAATGAAAACAAAAATCATAACATAAAAAAGGTCCAACATACTCCTGTAAATGACTACCGGACCTATAAAAAAATTATAATGAGACTGAAGGCAGTAAATAGTGAACCTGGTTGGAAGCAGCATTACTTACACACAGTTACGTGTGGCCACATCTTTGTGCAGCAAGAGGCGGGAGTGTAAGAACGCCAACGCCTGCAACACCTGCACGCCAACGCTCACAACCTCTCGAGTCACCAGCGTGTGGCACCCCTGCAGGAACCTACCAAAACAAAACACAATCACTTGGGGAAAATGTAACAAATTTATATTAACCCTTGAAGTGTGCAATTCTCTTATCTCTGTGTCACACTAAACACAATTCATAAAACAAAGACAAATTGCATAGCCAGAACCTTCTTTGGTTATACAGAATTTCAAAATATTAAATTCCAATTTTGAAATTGGTTCCTGAAAATTTTATAAAGAGTTCTACCTTAATTTTGCATTTATTTTCTTGTAGGATTCAGGGAGAACAATATGTGTGAATAAAAAGAAAAAAAAGGACTTCCTCTTTCTTGTGGGTCCTTCGAGGCCTGCTGTTGCTTACAACTTTGGTGCAATGAGTTTGTACCTTTGTGAGTCATTGTAAGCCTACTGGGGACCAGAGGCCAAAACCTGGCCTCCATAGATTTTAGCCTGCATAACTGGTATGCATAGAACCTGCATACTTGCAGGTTCGTGCAGGTATGAACCTGCACGAGCAGAGGATCATACCTGGAGTACTTTCTGAGAGTTTTACTCCCAAGCCTGGCTTTGGGCCAGGCTTCACATGATAACTTGGTCCAACAGGCTGTTGCTTGGAGTGGGCCTGCAGGCTCACATATCTGCTACAACGCAGTTGGTCCAGCACTGGTCAAGTCATAGTTGAACAAAGTCATCTTTGTTCTGGCAATATTTTTTAAACTTGCTGTGAGGGTACTGAACAGCCAAGGTCCTCTAATGTTCATACAGTGTTCTCCAATTGTGTCTATGGCACCTCTACTCTTCTCTAGTTTTATTGTGTATTTCCCACCATATCATTTGTTTCAGTATGGATGTAGCTCCAGGTGGTTTCCAGCCAAAACAACTGGAAACCACAGCTGGGCTAGTTAAAGGAGGGAATGTCTCCAGTCTGGAAACAATCTGGAAAACCTAGTGAACTAGAGTAACATATTTTGAACCCGCCCTCTCATAGTTTACAACTTTAACAGCATTGTGGGGAGGACATCTGGCCAGTTTTGTAAACCCTTAGTCCCATGATATGTGGACCTTCAGGGTAGTGGCTCGGGGTGTGCTGGGGTAGGTGGCCCTCAAGTAAGTAAGTAATTATCAATAGAAGGCACCAAACCGGGAAGGCTATGTAGCACCATCAAATGTGCGGGATAATCAGAGGGCGCTAAATATCACCAAGGATGCCAATACGAGAGGTGGCCCTCAGCCCCTCCCTAGGTGTTGAGGGCCCAAGGTTAGCAGTTTACCCTACAGCTCCTATTAGTAATTGCAGAGTCGTTGGATGCTGGATTGGTCGAGTTCACTCCGGCTTTGTAGTGGGTGTCCCATCCGTTTTTTTTTTTAACTGAATTGAAGCAACTTGGCCACCATATTCATTAAAACCCAGTTAGCCCAGTACTTCTTGCTGGAACTTGTCCAAGTTTCAACAGGAACTTGTTTTTTCAACAATTCCACTTTTGTTCAGTCAATATTTCTTATACAGTGCACCAAGAACAGTACTGTATTTGTGCAGTTGTGTATTCATTGTGATAACCAAAACTTATATATGGTTAAAGAGAAAAGTAAAATGTTTGTGTCCAGTATTCTTGGCGAGCTATAAATATTGTTGAAGTTAGTGCAGTGTCACTGAAGTTAGGCTGTTGTGCAGTGTCACATACCTCCCCGGCATAGCAGTGGAACTGTCACTTCCACTCACCTTCCATGTCATCACACTGGAAGTCCACCTCTATGACAGCCAGGATGAGTCATCCGACCTGCCACCACCCCGTATCACGCGGTGCCCGGTTCGGCTCACCAGCAGGTAGGTGCCTCCGCTAACTAGCAGTTAGCCTCCGCAAACAAGCAGTTTGCCACCTGTAACTAGCAGTCATACAGCCTCTACCCAGCTGTGGTGCAACTGTAAACTAGCAGTTTGTCGCCAGCCACTGATCACTACTCACGTTAACACCGGAGGTGTCGTCATCACCGCTGGGGTATAAATAGAGCTCCGCAACCCATGGAAGCACGGGAGACATCTCCCGTCACGCAGGGTTCAGTCGCACCTCCACAGATCTCCAGTATCAGCTAATGATACTGGTAAAGGCTCAAAAGGACCACCACTTCCGGGCTATTCATGCCCATGCCACATTTTGGGTGGCTTAATCTTCATCAATCAATCAACCATGGAAGTCAGTCTTTCCCTGGAGCTCTTGGAGTCATCATAACTTCTCACCCGTCGTCTGCTACCAGCCTACGTCATGTGTCGGATGCTGTGGTGGTATGGTGGATGTCTTCAGCTCATCAGTATAACATTATTGTATTGTATTCATTCCACATGTTAGTCATGTTAAGGATTTCATATTCCTTATTTCAGTTTTGAATGGAATGACCACCAAGTGTTCTCAGGTACCATTTTTGTTCATTAATATTAAAGTAAATTGTTTTAATTATTTATCTGGTGTTTTTTCTTTTTCTTTTTCCCTGCAACTTACATACTACAAGGGCCTAAGCAGCATTTTTTGTTTGTTTATGTGATTGAGAGCCACACCAGCCTGGCCCAGTACTGCTGCACTACTGCATCACCCCACACAGTGTCTTCCTGCAACCATTCCAACCATTTACCACTACAGTACTTATCATGAACTACTACTTTTTCCTTCCTGCAACATATATAAACTCAAATCTCATTATCATTCCTTCTATTTTGCCTGGCTTCCAAAGTGGCCATTGCCAGAACTCTCACTCTAACCTCTGTATTAATATTTCTTAGCTCAGGAATCTGCTTTGTTTCCTTTACCATTTTTTGTATTTAACAATGTATTCTTTAGGCATTGACATCATAATATATTTGCCTACTGTACAGTATTCCAATTTAGGTGTAAACATGTGCATAATTTTGAGACTACCAAACTAACCCAACCTGGCACCTCACTAAGGGAGCCGGTCGGCCGAATGGACAGCACGCTGGACTTGTGATCCTGTGGTCCTGGGTTCGATCCCAGGCGCCGGCGAGAAACAATGGGCAGAGTTTCTTTCACCCTATGCCCCTGTTACCTAGCAGTAAAATAGGTACCTGGGTGTTAGTCAGCTGTCACGGGCTGCTTCCTGGGGGTGGAGGCCTGGTCTAGGACCAGGCCGCGGGGCCACTAAAAAGCCCCGAAATCATCTCAAGATAACCATATACTGACAAACAATTTTCTTTAATTATAGGGGGTGTACAAGAGCCAATATGAACAAGCGGAGAATATTTCTTGCCTCTTAAGGTTGCCCTGGGAAGACGCCGGAAAAATGATACAAGGTGGAGACTCGGGTGGAGTGACGACGGCCCCAAGTACAGCCAGCAACCGGTCGTGGGTCAGTCCCGCCAGCATGAGTCCCTCGCTCACCACCACCGATCGCTGCACCTCACTCGATGCATCTGAAAATGCCCGAAATGCCTTATTATTCCACCGTTCTTTACAACAGATGGGTGCATTTCTCTCAATACATCAGAAACAAGAATATCCATGCATGCAACATGTTCTGAACCAAACACTACTCTAGATAAATACATTCCTTAGCTCCATAGATTTTGTCATCCTGTCATTCCTATGTTCCGTCCAAATCCACAATGTGCTAAACACCCTTCAATCAATTTAGATTCAGTGAAAGTATAAAAAATATAAAGGCTTGCATAATGCATCTTAACCAATCAACTTTCAAACGTTAATCCGTAGCTAACAGCTGTGTCTTTCCATAAACACTTTAGTTTCTCCCTGATAAATGGACCCTGGAAATACTTCTGATGATTATCCAGCTCGTCCTCCTAAGGTTCCCCGACATCAAGAAACTGTTGTACTAAATTGCCCTTATCCTAACCTGCAGAGGACCCAAAACAGAAAACGGGACAGTATGTCAATTTAGCAAGCCGCTATCATTTTCTAGTACGACAATCTTCAGCCTTGGGTAGAGCACACGTTAGAATACGACATTCTATTAGGAGGACGTGGTTGAAATATCTACATCAAATAAACAACACCCCACTATTCTCTAAGAGGTTCTCAGTATCCTCCAAGCTAAGCAGGCTTTATATTAGTGTTATTCTAGGTGCCATTCTCTGTCTTAGTATTTTAATGTGAAGAGTTTAAAGTATTGTATATCATCTATACAAGCTCATCACATGCCACACATAAAATGTACTTCTCTTTTTTAAGACACAATCACCAACACTGTTCCTAAAGATATCTGCTCCAAACTTATGCTTGTGCCTTGATACATTTATTTCACAGTTCAACGTGAGTAGCGTTACCTCAGCCTGCCGATACACCCCCTCTTTCCCATGTCATCATTAATTCATGCAACACTTACTTCCTTGTATACATAACCATTAGCACATGCAACACCCATTTCCATGCATATATCATTACTGCATGCAACACCCACATCCATTTATAATGATGCATTTGGTATATCAGTACCAAATGCATCACCCACTTTCATGCATATATCATTGTCACCCACACCCATGGATACATCATTTTGATACCATCACCCACTATCACACGAGAAGCAGAGCGAGGCACTTGCTTGAAAAAGACGGAAAAGTACTCGTGAAAAAAATCCAGCAATACCTGACTTTGATAACACCTTCCACTATCACCCTCATCTCGGAGATTATCACGAGCATTTGGCGGCTTCCATAATCACTATAAGCACCAGAAAATAGTACCTTACACATTGAATAGTATGACAGGAAACTGGTATTGACATTTAGTAGTGCCACGAGAACACAAACAATCACGGCAATTAAATACATTGCTAGATGAAAATATCTTCCAGTAATATAAGCCAATGCCAAAACAGGCCCGAGGCTATGCACCAGAACCAGCGGGATCTTCAATAGGATTTATATTTGAGTAACATATGTTACTCTCTCTTTGTACATCAAAGCTTAACTTATTCACATTTATACTTTAGTCATCTCTAAGTTTTGATAACAAGCTGATCCTCTCCCATTGGTATCCTGATACTCTCATTCACTAAACAAATAATCTTACTACATTACTGAACTATACAAAATGATTAATTTCATTTTTGCATTTTATTGCCACATTTTTTTTTTTTTTTTTTGAGATATATAGTGTACAAGAGTTACGTTCTTGTAGAGCTACTAGTACGCGTAGCGTTTCGGGCAGGTCCCTGGAATACGATCCCCGCCACGAAGAATCGTTGTTACAACCAAGTACTCATTTTACTGTCAAGTTAAACAGAGGCTACAGTTAAGGATTTGTGCCCAGTAAATCCTCCCCGGCCAGGATACGAACCCATGACAAAGCACTTGCGGAACACCAGGCGAGTGTCTTGCCACTGCACCACGGAGATTCATTTTACATACTGTACCTTAAAATCTTAGCACATAGGTACACTCTACTATTCTGAATAAGAGAAGAAAAGTTGAATATAAAAGATTCATTTTAGTTACAATATGCAGTATTGTACTCGATAGTACTTGTAAATAGAAACAATACTCCATTACGAAGATTTTGGAGTTTTATAGATTTCTTAAATCTACAAAACTAGTTTGTTTCTATAGAGTACTGTCCATAATACTTGCATAATGGCGGTCAAATGCAAGCCCTGAACCTCAGATCTGCCTAAGCGTAGCCAGTGAATTGACTGTACGAGGAAAACCCAAACTATTCAAGCCACAATCGGTAAACTAAATTAGACGATGTGTTACACAAAGCTGCCAAGTTACTTTATTTGCCAACTCACCTGTGACAGTCTTGACGGTGACACTCGTAGGGTGTGTTTGGTCTGGAGGCTGGTATAGAGCATGATACACGCGGCCAAATGTTCCTTCCTGCTCTACCTCCAACAACTGAAGGCATTCTCTAGAGACTCTCAGACCAGTCAATTTGGCAGATATATCACCTGAAACACATAGTCACCTCTTAAGTCATTCAAATTATTAAATGTAACAAGCAAGAACACACAGTAAAGAGCATCAGTCACATTAGTAAGAGACAACTTGAAGTGATGAACAGCAAACAAGAAGCACGATAGTAAGGACGAAAGAAAGTCAGATGGAATTAGAGGGTAGTTTCATAAAGCAAACATTTGATGTATTTTTTATAAGAGCACTTATGGAAAGTACTTTATACCGGGTTGTACGAAGCCATGGGCTCAGCAGTAGACCAAAGGGCAAGAGCCTCAGGATTGAAGGGCTAAAATGTTCCAGGATTAAGGGGTCAAAGGGATCAAGAGGCCCAAGGATTGAGGGGCCAAAGGGGCAAGAGTCCCTGGAATGAGGGGTCAAAAGGGAAAGTGCCCCCAGAAATGAGGGGTCAAAGGGAATGACCCCCAGGAATGACGGGTCAAAGGGAAAGTGCCCCAGGAATGAGAGGGGCCAGCACGTATTTTTGGAGCACTGGGGACACGTGGTGAAAAATGGCTTATCTTGAGATTATCTTGAGATGATTTCGGGGCTTAGTGTCCCCTCGGCCTGGTCCTCGACCAGGCCTCCTTTTCTTACATCCCCCCCCCACCCCCAGGAAGCAACCCATAGCAGCTGACTAACTCCCAGGTACCTATTTACTGCAAGGTAACGGGGGCATAAAGGTGAAAGAAGCATTTTGCCCATATGTCTCTGCCTATCACGGGGATCAAACCCAGAACCTGAGGACTCTAATCCGAAGCGTTGTCCACCCAGCTGTCAGGCGCCCTGACAGCTGGGAAACTCCGTGCAACCATGGAGAACTATGATACACAAAGCACCACATCGGCAACAGAACTGAGTGGCGAAGGACCATGCTCCAGGCAGCCTGGTGGCAGTGATCGATACTAATGGGTTCGAGCTAATTTTTAGTGAATTATTTGATTTTGGTTAATTTATCTGAGGAGCTATTTGCCAGTTTTCAGGCTCCATGACATTGTATGGAGCAATCTTGGTGAGATAGATACAGTGTAACCAAGGGGCTCCCCCTAGAAAAAACTAGCATTAAATGTAATGAAACGCCGTTTTCTGGGTGAGCCTCAGAGGCTCCCTGAAGCTATCGGACTGATATACGCTTTATTAGTCTGGGGCTTCAGTCAATGGAGTTCTACCTACCAGGGACCACTAGCCAGAACATGGACCCCCCTCAGAGAGATGCAGGGTGCAATGGCCCAAGGAAAATCCCCCTTGTATTTGGGGGTATTCCATCTGCCACTGACAGGGGTTAGGCCCCCAGAAAGGTAGGCACCTCAAAACAAACCCCACATGGTTGGAAACTGCAAAAAACCCAAGACCGAACAGAAAACAGAACTCTCCAAAAGAAAACATAGGAAATAAGCAAACGTCATTCACTGCACCTGCGCTGTTTGTCCCTGCAGCCCTTCCCCTCCTTGGAAGGGGGTAGACCCAGACCCCTCGCACCAGCTATTCACACCTCAGTCCAGAGGCCGAGCATAAAAAACGAAAGCGTTGATTGGAGGGAGGGTGCCAGAGAGCCTCTGGGGCTCACCCAGAAAATGGCGTTTCATTACACTCAATGCTGGTTTTCTGTGGAGAGCCCCTTCAGCTCCCTGGAGCTACAGACCCCAAAATAAGTAAAATAGGAACTCACCCCGTAGGCGGCCGCACTGTGTGCTTCAACTCAAAGACAACTGGCTGTAACTTGTGACCCAGCGCAACACAGGAACGATTGGGACCAGGCACATTCACCAAATAACGGGCGGCCAGCACCATTTGACCTCCAAAGCCCCTGTGCTCGATTGTCAGCCAAAGACACGTTCCCAAACACAGCAGCTAGAACAGCATACTCACGAACCTCATGGGCATGAGGGTGGACCGCAGGCTGGATAGACTTAATAATCCTGCGGACAACCTGAGAGACCCGAGCCCTGAAACAGGGAACAGGGAAAAGCAGGTCAACCCAAAGCGCATTCACAGCCACAGAGGCTGAGTCGAGCTGGTAATGGCGTAGAGCCGCAATCGGACAACACATGATGCACCCCCGGCCCAACCAAGCAACAATAACCCAAGGGCTACTTTGGAAGCCCGCCGTCTCGTTCTTCACCAGAAAAGAAGGAGACGTCTGCATCCAAACAAAACGTCCACCAGGACCGAAAAATCAGAAACTTCTGCGCTGGAGGAGAGCATGAAGCTCACCGGCCCGACGCTCAGAAGCCAATGCCAACAGAAAGAGCCTTCTGGAGGCAATCTTAAACCGAAGGGGGCCACCACAAATCGAGGAGAAGAAAGAAAAGAGAGCACCCGGTCCAAGGACCAAGTCAGCTCAGGCAGTGCATGAGCAGGCCGGAGGTGAAACAAAGCACAGGAAAGCTTACAAAACAGGGCAGAAGTGACATCTACCCCAAACGCAAGCTGGAGCTGCTCCGCTAGCACCGCACGGCAAGAGGCAACAGTATTGGGCATACGATGATTGTCCTGAAAGAGCCAAGAAAGGACAAGACAACCCTGAACAGAAATAGAAGACAACTTACAAAGAAAGAGGAAATGGCAAATAGAACGCCAAGAGATTTCATACTGTTGCCGAGACGAAGACCTCAGGTGGGACACCATCAAGGAAGCCACCCGATCACCATACAAGTGGTGATACACCCACATTAAAAAGACCAAATGCGAAGAGCAGAGTAGATTGAACCAGCCATATACTGGACTGGCCCGACCTGCTGGAAAAGGCGGAGCCATGGAAAACGCCTCAGGTTTGGACACCAAGCAAGCAGTGCCTGAAACCAAGGCTGGGCCGGCCACCACAGGGCAACAAGGACAACTCCCACGGTAAAACTCCAACCGAGCCAGAACACGAAGTAACAGCTGGATCAGGGGGAATAGAGAGGTACAGGTAACCCCCACCTCTACCAGTTCTGCTGAAAAGCATTCACCGCAACGGATCCGCAGTCGAGGTGGATGCTTTCCACATATATTGGGAGATACCGGAACCACGCAAATGCAAAAAGGTTCACCTCCGGGGGCCCATACATCCAGCAGAGCCAAATGAAGGAGTCCAATGTAAAAAATTGTCCAATGGATCGAACAAGTCCCCAACGTAATAAATTGGCTTTGCCCCATATACTGTAGTTCATTTGAGCGAGACCACACTAATATATTGTACATACTGAATATATTTGTGTGTGTTATCTCGAGGTTATCTTGAGATGATTTCGGAGCTTAGCATTCCCATGGCCCGGTCTTCGACCAGGCCTCCTTTTTGTTACACATCCACAGGAAGCGGCCTGTAGCAGCTGTCTAACTCCCAGGTACCTATTTACTGCTAGATGAACAGGGGCATCAGGGGTGAAAGAAACTCCGCTCATTTGTTTCCGCCTCCGCCGGGGATCGAACCCGGAACCTTGGGACTATGAATCTCGAGTGCTGTCCACTCAGCTGTCAGGCCCCACTGACTTGTACTCTACTTTTGTGTACAGTATTCACAAAACTATAAAAATGTACCACCTTTAATACCAAATAATGTGAATAAACCAAGTTTCAACTGGACTTCAGTTTACTTGTTTCCTAAAACAACAGATTTCCCATCATCAGTACAAGAAGTCACGTAGTATAAAAGCTTACTTTGTCTCGGATCAGTGTACTGAGGTTCAGGACTGCCCGTGGTGGTGGTAGTCGTGGCAGTGGTAGTGTTGGTGGGCTGAGGTGACCGTCGCATTTCACTGAGGGACGACTGAGATGTTTTACCAACACCAGCAATGTCAGCAGCAGTGCGTTGATTGTTCGGGACATTCTCGTTAAGGCCCAAATTACCATGGCGACCACTGGCCGATCTCTGGCCACTTCCAGTGCGTCTTCTGCAAATGAGCTTGTATGATCACTACTTGCGTACAACTATATGATGTTTGTACGCTATCATGCAGCATCATGAAGTAGACATAAGGAAGGACTTTTGAAGGACTGAACAGGTTATTCAATAATTTATTGAAAATGGAAAGATTTGTAATAATTAGGGTAAAATTACTAATATAATGCATGCATAACATGGATATTACCCCTATTAGCTGCCCAATATGAAAATAAATTCAAGAAAATATTCTGCCTTTAACACTTTGGTGGTCCAGTCCCTCTCCTTGTTCCCAACAGTAAACATTTCAGGCTCCCTAGGCCACTCAACGATGAAAAAAAAAAAAAAAGTTTACAAATAACTTGGAAAACATAAAATTATTGTAAACTTTTTTTTTTGCATCATCAAGTGGCCTAAGGAGCCTGAAATGTTTGGCAATAACTATAAATTGTGTCAAAATGTTTGCAAATGGATTGTCTAGAGAATAGATCAAAAGCAGAAGTGTAGAGTATTTATAATAGAATATGCTCCTCTCTGCACAGTCTTGAACATAAGTATACTAAAGTAGACTTGGCAAATCCCGCTCAGCGATGCTTGAAATGTTTACATTGTTCATTTTCACAGTTATTTGTTAGTTTATAACAAATTCCCCCTCCAGAAGGGCAACTGAAGACATTTAAAGGTCTGATTTTCAAGAGCAGATTTAAAAAGAAAATGGACCTCGTGAACGCAGGCAATGTTTGGTTCTTGAATTAAGGATGCATCTGTGTTGACAATTGTAAGGGCCAAAGAGATGACCCATTAAAGGGGAATGTCTTATAATAAGTACAATAGAGTCCAGTGAGTGGACGTTTACCCATCAGGACACTATAAACAATTTTATCAGTATTATTCATGATAATATTAAGTGTATTGCATGTCATAAGTACTTTCACAGATGTGAAGCATGCAGGTGGCCCTTTTATAGTTGATGTTCATTTGCTTGCCATTTATATTTAAATGTGCATTTGCCGTATTGACATACATAAGTAATTATCAAAGAAGTGCTGTGTTGACATACATAAATGTGGTTAGATGACCGATCCTGTCATCTTGTTTATATACATTTCCATATGCAGTTTTAGTATTGTCCTGATTGTGTTGCTTATATGCATACACCCATAAATATTTCAGGCAAGAGGCTATCATTTGGCTATCAATATTATTATTTAAAAAAAACTTGCAGCTTAGATTGATACACTCTGAGTATCATAGTTTTGCTCTCAATTTCCATAACTTTTCTCACATAAGGCAAGACTAGTATGTTTTTCTTATTAAGTATAATAGTAATATGTTGTCTATACTTGTCAAACCGACTAGTCACATGGATTAATGAGAGTCAATGTTTTGTTTGCTAGTTTTCATTGGACAACTATTGAAGTGACAGAGGACTCACTTAAGAGTCAGTTATCAGGAGATATCCCAGTATACAATTTTGGGTTTAGTAGTAGTAGTAGGCATCCATCAGCCTCAGAAGACCATGTAGTTGCGCTCTGATGTCGGCCTGGTCTGGAGTGGCCTCACCAGGGCGCAAAGCCAGGGTAGGTTGATTCGGGGAAGAAGCTGTTACCCAGGCAGCATGTCCCCCCTCTCCACGGCGCTGAAAGTCTCCAATGGAAATGCATACGCCAATACGATTGGTTCCAGCGCCATCGCAGGAACTGTGAGTTCCGGGGTTTTGGTTTAGGAACTGTTTTATGAAGTCGATTATTTTCGTGTTCAAGTCACGTAAGTTGAATACAATCTGGAAAGTTCACCCACGTTGTTTTGACTTGTACATACTCTCTTTGCTTACTGATGTTCTAGTTTTGATATTATGAAGTACTGGCCTTGAAGATTATATTAGTGGAACGGCAATAAAAGCCGGAGATATCAAAACCACTAGTGTGGAAGAGCCAGTGCCGAGGTAGTTGAGTAGTGTGTGAATAACCGACTTTAAGCAGGCTGACTGAGTAGAAAAAGTTTCATCAGGTTATACTCCTTCCGACAGTAGTCAATTTCCTTTGTGGATAGCAGTGGATCTCCAGAGAGATTTTTTTGTTGTTTTGTTGAGGCAGACCTGTTACTGCTATTTATATTACTTGGCCGTAGCGCGCTTCACCGCTCCTGTCACACTCGGCTGTAGCGCCTCACCGCTGCCGTCACACTCGGCTGTAGCGCCTCACCGCTGCTGTCACACTCAGCTGTAGCGCCTCACCGCTGCTGTCACACTCGGCTGTAGCGCCTCACCGCTGCTGTCACACTCGGCTGTAGCGCCTCACCGCTGCTGTCACACTCGGCTGTAGCGCCTCACCGCTGCTGTCACACTCGGCTGTAGCGCCTCACCGCTGCTGTCACACTCGGCTGTAGCACCTCACTGCTGTCACACTTGGCTGTAGCGCCTCACCACTGCTGTCACACTCGGCTGTAGCGCCTCACAGCTGTCACACTCGGCTGTAGCGCCTCACAGCTGTCACACTCGGTTGTAGCGCCTCACCAATGTCACACACGGCAGTAGCGCTTAACCGCTGCTGTCACACTCGGCAGGAGCTCATCACAGTATCTTGAGGTTATGTTAAGATGATTTCAGGGCTTAGCATCCTTGCGGTCCGGTCCTCGACCAGGCCTCCTTTTCGTTACCATTGCCATACACTTGGCAGGAACACACCATAATCACTCTACTAATCCATACAATGCATGCAAAAAGACTTAAAACAGATAATGGACACTAACCTGCCAGTAGTCTTATTGTTGTTGATATGATTTACGATGGCAAGGACAACCACAACTATGAGGAAGACTCCTAAGCAGGCGAGAGTAATGTACACCACAGTGGTGGAGTGGCGCGCTTCCACCATCTCTACCGACACTCCATCCGCCTCCACTGCGCTGTCTGAGGAACACAAGACATATCCTTCACCCTACAAGTATGGCAACTGTTTAATAATAACGTTACAATTTTAAGTAAATTGATGTCACACTTGATAATGTTTTGTTCAGTCTTGGAGCCCCTTGTCACGTTCATTTCTTTTCACATGAGCGAGGTGAATTACATATTAGACATGTAGAGTATGAGAGTGAATTTGGATGGACATAAATAGGAACTGAATCATATGGCCCAATAGAACTTTTGCATTTTCCTTTGATTTTATGCTCTTTATATAAACTGACAATATAAACAGGGTAGAAGTATTTTGTTTCAAGGAACGAATATTAATTTTGGCAATTAAAGATATGGTTGAACGTTTGTATAGCCTACCATTCAATAATGCGCAATGAAAGGATTTTGTATTGGCTATTTAAGAGACGGCTTAAAATGCTGCAAGACAAAAGTAAATTGGTAGAAAATTTTAATTAGATTAAGGAATTTAAATGTTTAGAATATCAGTTGGGTAACTTAAAAAAAGAATATTCCACATCTATAATATAATTAATTCTCTTTCATACAATCCTCCATAATCATGTAACAACTCTAATAATTAAATTAAGTAGGCAGAATTAGTTCCAAGAACGAGGAATCCAGGGATTTTTAAGTAGTTTCCCCATTCCGAACTTTTTTTTTTTAAGTTAGGGACAGGAAGCCTGTTGGGGTTATCGAGATCTGACCTTTGTGACTGATAATGACTGACTTTTCCCAGGATGCAACTCATAAAAGTTGCCTAATTGCTGGGTGCTATGGTTAACCTCAATGTTAAAACTCTTGAATATGTACAGTGGAACCTCGGCCTTTGTATACCCCTCTTTTCGAATTTTTTGGTTCACAACATCAATTTCTTAGAAAAATTTGACTCGGTATTCGAGGTTTGCCTCGGTGCTGAAGTTTGTTGATACACGTATGGGCTGACTTAGCGTGTGGCATGATTCAGTTTACAAGTGTTTCCCCGCCCAGTAATGACCATGTTTTAATTTTTTGTGAAGAATTTTGTAATTTTGCGGCGCGGCACACGCCGTCGGCCCATTGTTTTCGCTCCACTGTTGTGACCGGTGTCGCCTCCCCTCGCGTCTCAAACGTGTGAATATTTCGGCTATTTTCCGTGGCTATATTTCTTACTGCGGCTTCAGAAACTATCTACGCTTACTCCACGATGGATAGTGATCATGAACAAGGCCCTTCCAGGAAGAAAATTGCGAAAGAAAGACGTGAAAAGCAGAAGCCGAGTAGTGTACAGGAGAAGTACAAGCATGCGAGACTAACTCCCACCATCCACTCCACCTATACAAAACATGGGTTGACCCTGCAGGAAACGTTTTCCAGGAGCAGGTGGAGTGGATAAAACAAATGTTCAACCCATATCATGTTCAACACACAACACTGAGGTGGTAAGTGCAAATTTTTTTATTATTTATTTATTTATTTTTTTTTGTTCATACTTTCCCGTATTGTACAGGCAATGTTGTTCTTCAATTGGCCCTTATATGCACATATCCATCTGAAGAATTCTATTAGGAACATTTTCATACCTAAATGAGCGCTGTAACACGAAAATTGAGATTACCACCAGGAAATAATACTAAACATATGTGGGCGGGAATTGGGAGTGTAGCGGGAAAGTGTCTGAGCGCTCACTCCCGGCTAACGCGTGGCCTGTCTTCAACTCGTCGGCGGTTGGAGCGTGACCAGGTTTTTTATTTTATATGCTAATATTCCTCTAGAGAATTCTATTACGAACCCATTGAGACCAAAATGAAAGACCTAGGACGAAAATTGAGGTGACCAGAGTGAAAATAGTGAAAACATTTTATCGCGTTTGCGCGCTCCCCGGTAACTTGTTCGCACTTTCTCTGCTTGCTGCGGGTAATTAGCTGGGCTTTTGGAGTTTATATGCATTTAGTGCTGTAGAGAATTTTATTGCAAACACAATGATACCAAATTTAATCTCGTAGAACGAAAATTGAGGTGACAAAGTTGAAGAGAGTATACACTTTTCGGAATTGACCTGCGCTTCCGTGACACGCTGGGGCCCATATCGCCCTGTCGAGGGGTGGCGCGCGGGGTGCGCGAAAGTGTTAATAAAAAAAAGTCACAATTGGAAGATGAGTTTTAAGAATATACAAAATTAAATTTTAAAGCCAACTTACCTCTAAGGCAAATTTTCTTACGAAGGATAGTGAGGGTCGTGATATCTGCTAATGACGTATTCATGGGCACTTGCAATGTTATTGTAACATCCACCTGTGGATAGAAAAGAACTTTAATCAGTTCCCCCTCTAATTCTGATACACACAGCCATAATCCCCATCACTATAATACCCAGTACCCCAAACTATGAACCCATCATATCTAGAATTTATATTACCATAAATTCAATATAGCTAATTCCTTATAAAAAGATTAAATTCAAAAAATCAAGTTTTGATTAATGAAATGCCCGTATCTGGCAAGACCTGTCAGGCTCCTGAAATGTAGTACTGGTACTGCCAAGCATTAGCTAACTGAACTAAGCCACAAGACCCATCCTTGCCTACCAGCGGCCAAGGACCAGATTTACGAAGCAGTTACGCAAGCACTTACAAGTATATCTTTTCTCAATCTTTGGCAGCTTTGTTTACAATTATTAAACGGTTAATGAGCTCCGAAGCACCAGGAGGCTGTTTATAACAATAACAACAGTAGATTGGAACGTTTTCATGTTTGTAAACCATTTAATAAATGTAACCAAAGCCGTCAAAGATTGGGGAAAGATGTACACGTTCGTAAGTGCTCGTGTAACTACTTCCTGAATCTGGCCCAGGACCAGAATCTGCAATTTTCTGGTGAGGCTAAAGGGTGGCTCCATGCTGCTAGCTGCACTAAGATACTGTATTGCTCCACACATAAGTCACATCAGCCCTAGGAATCTTTAATTCCTCAACTGCACATCCAATTCAAGGATAATTTACCAGTGGTGCATCATATTCAGGGATGTTTAAAGGTATCATACAACATTTTAAACACCTGTGGGATACAGGGTTCACATCCACTTTCTCAGGACTCCAGTAAACAGACACCATTTCAGGAAAAAAATCTTGAGTATGCCACTTTGGCTCCAGACCAGTAGTATCACGAGAGCAACCATGGGTGGCTGTTGTGTGTGTGTGTCAAGCTCTCAATATGGTTATGCAATTCTTATCAATATTTTCCTTTATACACAACAAACTTAATAAAAACCTGTACGATTATAAGCTTGTAAATGATGTTGATCATTGTGAACGTAATAAAAATGATGTACTGGCGCAGAAGACAGTTGTAGGAGCAGCACTTTGCTTCTTTATGTCTCCCCTACAAAATGTCATGCTGGTACACTTCCTCATGTGTTTACCACCTGTTGGAGCGTGTATCAAGGCCCAACATGGGTGTATTATCTGCAAAAACAGAGGGGAGGGAAAAGCAATGAAATGCAGTCATATCTTGGTGTTGACCACTCACAGCTAAACCAAGAGAATCCAGAAGATGAGCCACCCACAGCATCCAGCACCATAGGTGATGGGACTGAAAGACACACTACACAGTTCAGTCAATGAACCACCAGGAAGCAGTTGGAGTAGAGCTGCAGCCCGGAGGAACTAAATATTCTGTAGTGCTTACCATGGAGCTGTGAACCCTTGCACTATGCTGTACACCCAAAGAAACTGATTTGACCACTCACCCCAGGGAGGTCTGGCAAGTGCTTTCACAAAGACCCAGTAAAGAGCCGATGTGTCCATAAAGACATGGAGTGATGGAGCTGGAAGGTGCCATGGAACCATACCCCAAAAGTCCAAAGAGGAAGCTGATAAAGCAACAAATGGTGAAGAGCAACCGGGGACCCAAACCTAACAGTGATTGCAGTGGCAAAAAGCACAGAAACCAGAACAAAACCCGGAGCCAAACTCTAATGAAAAACGACAATGGCAAATTTCAGGCTCCTGCACAGCCTCTTGACCAACCACTAAGTATCCCATGGCCAGCCCAAAATTAAACTGATAGCTGTAATCAGAGCAAGGCCGAATGAGGCAGGGGGAGGGGGGGGGGGGGGAAGAAATGCCAACCGATAGTCCCAGATGAGACCTAACCAAGTCCAAACTCAAGATATTACCAACTGGGACTTCCACTAGGAACCTAAACATGGAAGCTGCGAAAGAAACAGATCCCTGGCTAGCTGATTGACTTACTGAGAGCCCAAACCAGCCAGTCATCAAGGTAGGCCAAAACGTGAACCCCCAAGTGTACAGGTTACAGGGTTGCTGGGCCACAATGACCCGCACTAACCTGGTGAAAATATGGGGAGCCAGATTTAAGCCGAAGGGCAAAGCCTGAAAGCAGTAAGCATGATGCCCCACCTCACGATCAAACCAGTCCCTGGACCCTGGATGTATAGGGATTTGCCAGTATCCATCCTTGAGGTCCAGGGATACCATCCAAGCCCCTGACTGGAGAACCAGGAGAACTTGGGGTTAAAGAGGTCATATGGATGACAACCTCTGCTAATCTCCCAAAGAAAAAACAAGCGTTGAATATAATGAAACGCCAATTTCTGGGCGAGCCCTGGTGGCTCGATTCTAGCTCCTCAGTTATTACCAGTTTAGCCTGGGTGTTATTTTACCTAGTGGCATCTTTGCTATGTCAAGGTAGGCTATAAACAACTGGCTGCTGTTCCTTTCCTAGAGTCATCCAGTGTTGGGTTCCTCTGTTCTGGTGGAACATTCAGCTGGTCTTGTCTTGAGTTCGGACATGGTTCGAACCAGGAGCAACCAGGAGGCCTGGTCGACGACCAGGCCGCGGGGACACTAAGCCCCGGAAGCACCTCAAGGTAACCTCAAAGTATGGTTGGGTCTTGTCTTTGGTTACGACACGAGTGGGTCTAGTCTGTGTTTCTCAGCCTCCTTTCCTAGCTGGCAGCTGTCCATCTCCCCCTGCAGGCTCATCTCCATCTGATGTTGGAGAGGTGTTGGGTTTCTTGCCAGTTGGTCAAGCAGTTGTGCGGGAGCCTGAACTCTCCCTGCATGGTGTTCCCCATAGGTGGAGGTTTGACTCCAGGCACTGTTCCGGCTTGTTACGTACTCCTAGCAGAATACGTATATAAATTTAAAATAAATATTATTTTATTTTATCATTGCATGTATATGTACACACATTGTGTTTTGGGTAAATTGTCGTGTGGTTTGGCAGCGTCAGTGGACAGGAGAGCGGTTGCGTTGCACACGTCTATTACCTGATTGATACGGGAAAGCTGGACCTGTTCAGTTTGAGAGTTCCAGATGTCACTTTATTTTAGTTAGAAAATGTTTTATATACTGTAATTAAACAGGTGTCATTATACTTATATATTTTGTAAGTAACTATTATATGTAACTTGCAGTCTTATGTGTTTTGAGAACAAGTGGTTGTTCAATTAGTTTATAATATTAAAAAGTCCTTAGTTTCCATCCCTCATCCTGGGATGAGGCAGACGGGAGGTGAGAATGTGGGTGGCGACAGAGCGAGAGTTCAGTAGCTGGACGGGAGCCAGGGAGATAACACTTGTTGGAGTTAAGTTCTTTTGTTCTATCATAGCCATATATATTAATCTTGATTTAATGTCTGGAAGTTACAGTGATATTTTTAATGTGATATATTGTGACCATATAATCATCTGTTTGCCTTTGAGATTTATTTAATATAAATTATATATATATATTGTTAGTCTTTATTCTTCAGTCCTATGAAGATTCTATTTTTGTGCTCATTACCTATTAAGGGGTTATACTGGTGATTCGCTATTGAGAACAGCAGTTGTGTCGTATCCCTAGACTTATTAAAGTTTGGCTGCTGTAGGATCACGAGCCGTAACGTACGATAGGTAACAAAGAGTTATGGGGGCCTGTGCCGGGAAATATTGTCCCACTTTAACTTAACTATGCTAATCTAACCTTGCCTTCCTAGGTACCAGTGTGTCAAGTGTCTCTGTGTGTTTCTTAAGAACTATTCCATGTGCCAAGCAAGCCTTCCTGTGTGTCAAGTAACAACGTTTCACGATTTTGAGGTAAGTCATCCTATATATTTTGTTTGTGCAGTGAGGCCAAGCGAATTTTCAGTGTGGTGACAATTTTACAGTGAAGTGTAGTGCAGTGCCATTGTTTTAATTATTTTTGTGAATCAAGTGCCAAGTGTTAGTAACGATGGAGGAGAAAGTTGCAGCGTTGGTGGCTCACCCAGACTTTGAAGGGATTCAGAACCTTAAAAAGACTGAGTTAATACAAATGGCAAATCATTTGGATTTGACCGCCAGCAATAGAATGGTTAAAGCCCAAATATTGAAAGTCATTGTGACGCATTTTGTTGAGAATGGGGAGTTAGATGAAGAAATTCTAGAGGAGTTAAGAGAGGAGTCGAGTGATCAGATGACGTTAAAGCGTCTTGAGTTAGAAGCTCGCCAATTAGAGCTTGAAGCTCAAAAAGAACAGCAAATATTAGAGGCTGAAGCTCGTCAAAGAGAGATTGAAGCTCAACAGCAACAGCAAATATTAGAGGCTGAAGCTCAGCAAAGGGAGCTGGAGACTAGGCGTTTAGAAATTGCGGTACAGTTGCAACTTGAAGCCACAAAGAAGCAACAAGCCGAGGAACAAACTAGGCAATTAGAGATTCAACAACAAATGGCTGACACTAACTTCAGGCTTGAATCACAGCGTATGGCAGCTGGGCATGGAAATACTAGTAATGTTTCAACAAATAGTGATAATAATCCCATCAGGATGAATAAGTATATAGAGTTGCCCAAGTTCAATGAGGAAGATCCTGAGGTTTTCTTTGCACATTTTTATAAAATTGCCATCAGTATGAACTGGCCAAGGGATCAGTGGGTAGCCATTATGCAGTCTCAATTCAAGGGGCGTAGTCAGGAGGTTTTCACATCCCTACCTGACGCTCATAGTTTTGATTATGACTTTGTAAAGAAAAGCATCTTAAATGCTTACCAGCTAAATCCAGAGGCACACAGGCAAAAGTTCAGGAACCTAAGGAGAATCAGTGATCAGACAATAGCAGATTTTACTCGTCAGAAGACGAAATTTTGTAACAGATGGTTAAAGTCACTTGCAGTCACTGATTTTGATGCTCTAAAGAATCTTCTTATAATGGAAGAAGTATTGTCATGTCTCCCAGACCAGTTGTCTACTTTTATGGCAGAACAAAAGAATGTAACAGACATTGATGAGCTGTCAAAGCTCGCGGATGAGCATGAGTTGTTGACTAAGGCCCCGTTTACGGCCACTTCACCTAAGTCTAGTCGTAGAGTAAATTATAATGCTCACCGAACTCCTTATCAGAATCCATCCAGTCCTAGTACTCCAGTTACTCCCATGAGCTCTTCTCTTACAAAACCTAATCCTGCTACTTCATTGTCAGGAATGTCAAATAATAATAAGGTTATTTCTAAACCTACAGTTGGTTCTACCAGTGTGTCCACTGTAAGGTCCTGTTCCCATTGTAAGAGAAAAGGCCATGGAATTCATTCATGTTTTATATTGCACCCTGAGTTACGACCAACTGGTCTCATTTATTGCAGAGGTGTGCAAAATAAACTTACTAATAAACATGTAACTGTAAACCCCAATTGGGTGAAACAGTATTCACCATATATGTCTTCAGGTGAAGTCTTGTGTATTAATGGAAAGTGGAAGCCAGTGGTTATTCTTCGTGATACAGGTGCTTCCCAAACCATAATTTCATCCAGTATTCTTTCTGATGTTGAAAAGAGAGAGACAGGAAAGTTTGTTGTTCTTCAGAGTGTTGCAGGATGTAAAACTGTACCTCTAATAGACATTAATTTCAGATCCACCATTACACCACGTTTATGCACTGTGGGTGTTAGTACACAGTTGCCCATCCCAGGTGTGGATGTTATATTGGGTAATGATGTGGCCATAAATCATGTTGTGGGTGAGATTGATCCCCGTTTGTGTAAACAGCCAGTTGCAGACCATGTTTATTCTGCCTGTGCTGAAGTTAGTTCTATGAATGAACCTGTTGTAGAAGATGGTTTTGTCCATTCTACCTGTGCTGATGTCAGTACTAATATAAATCCAGTTGTCAGTTCTGATGTTGTTACTCAAGCATTTGTTCCAGTAACCAGTACCCCTTCAGTGGAGAAGTGGGATGTGGTTGTTCCAGATTCCTGTGTGGCCGATTTAGTTGTTGAGAGTAAGCCTGATACTATGACTCTGCTTTATTCCAATAAATTGGGAAAGGATGTCCATGTACCATTGTCTTGCCCGCTCACTACGAACGTTGTGCCAGGAGTTGAGAGAAACTTAAAAGCCACGACTCTGTATTCCAGCCAAGTGAATGGTTTAGGACAAGATGTCGGGTTGGCAGAAGTATTCCCGCTCACTCCAAGTTTAGAATCAGTTGTCGAGAGTAAGTCCGTTGTAGAGGCCCCGCCTCACCCTAGTCAAGGTGATATAATAGGGGAGGAGGTCAAACTACCTGTTACTTGCCCGCTCGCTTCAGATTCCCTTCATTTATGTGCTTTGAGTAGAACTGACCCTAAGATTTCAGAGAGAAGCAAGGAGACAGTCTGTACTGTAGATCCAGTTTTGGAGAGTGTGGGAAAGCAGCCAGAGGATCAGCTTCTGTTGAGTAGATGGAGACCCATTGAGCCTCCCTCTTCAGTTGTCTGTGAGGATGTGACCCAGCTTGGTAGTGATATTGTTGATTGTGAGCAGACAGTACTCCAAGCAGCTCCAGAAGTCATGGGAGGAAATTTTGGTAAAATCATTAAGAGTGGTAAAGCAGCATTTGGATCTAAGTTGAGGAGTTGTGATTCTTATTCTATGTGGAGGAAGTATTTCTCATTGTGTACATTGAGTCAGAGTGTGTGTAGGATGTTGAAATCTACTTTTATTCTGCAGGAGCCATTTTCTTGTGAAGTAATGGACTGTGGGACATCTTTGTCAAGCCTTGTGGTGGAGCAGAGAGAGTTTACTCAAGTAGGTTGTGCATCCAGTTCTGAGGAAGTGGTGAGTTATGCTAGAGCAGTGTCTCTATATTCAGATCCAGTTAATTTTGATGCACGAGTGATAAAAGTGTATGTTCCACTCAAGTGTGGTGTTGAGTTTTGGAGAATCATATTGTGGGTGAAGGATTAAATCATACTGGGGAGCAGATGTTTGAGGCTCCAGGTGTGCAATTCAAGTTGGAGGATAAGGTTATCCTACCTAGAGTTAATCATTGTGAAGGGTTTCAGATTGTCCTTGGGCGTTTCCCAGGTAATCTGCTGTTCATCTTCAAGATGTTAAGACCCTTAAACCTCTTGGTTGATTGGTTGTCATCAGACGTAAATCACTTGGGAAGTGATGGTGAGGGTTGTAAAGTTTTCGGCATGTTTTATTTAGTCTCTTGGAAGACTAGACGGTTGATGAATGTGTGTGTTGTGTTCAAGTTCACCATCAGAGGGTGTGAACTTGTCTTGAGAGTTATGATTGAGATATGGTGCCTAGGCATATGCCTGTTTTCTTTCACTGATCGTTATGACAGAGTTATGAGGCAATTGATTTCTGTGTTCCTTATGGATCATCTGAGTCAGTTCGATCAGGTAGTCTTTGCACTAATCTTGGGTTGTATTTCTTGGTTGGAAGGTCAAAGGTTTGATAAGTCGGTGTCTTGTGTTTCGGAAGGTTCTATGAATGGGAAAGTTTTATGCATAATTGTGAGGTTTAATGCTACTTTCTCTAATTTTAGTATCCATTGGGCGAGAGTATGTGTTCCACAGAGGATCAAGAGTGATGAGCAGATGTCTGTGTCAGAGCATACCCAGGAGAAGTCCCAACTCAACTCAACATACAGCCTGCTTCAATTAAGCAGTTCAGCTCCAGAAAAAGGGAGTAATGGAAAATCGAGGCTGTCTTGGGAAAATTCACCATGTGGAAAAGGAATCACATGGAAAAATGAAACTGATCTTGAAGAAATAGTAGAAACATATGAAAAGCAAAATTGCCATGATAACTGTGTGAAAGCAGCTACCTTTATTGACAATTCTATTCATGCTACTAATGATACTGTTGTAGATAGGAGTGTGAAATATGATCTAAAACAAAGTGAAATAAATGAGATAGTACCTTGGAGAGATAAATTTGCATACTCCAGTGACACATATGTAGAACATAGTCATAAGACTGAAATTTCTGAGTTTCCTGTAAGACTATATTTGGAGTGTTTTCATTTTTGTCCAGAAATGTGTTCTTATTACTTATACATGTTTGGTGTAATTAATACCATAAATCTCAAGTGTCATACATTTTACTTTGAAAAAATGCCATTGATCTTCAATCTATTGCATTTTTTTTCTTGGAGGTGGAAGTGTTACGTACTCCTAGCAGAATACGTATATAAATTTAAAATAAATATTATTTTATTTTATCATTGCATGTATATGTACACACATTGTGTTTTGGGTAAATTGTCGTGTGGTTTGGCAGCGTCAGTGGACAGGAGCGCGGTTGCGTTGCACACGTCTATTACCTGATTGATACGGGAAAGCTGGACCTGTTCAGTTTGAGAGTTCCAGATGTCACTTTATTTTAGTTAGAAAATGTTTTATATACTGTAATTAAACAGGTGTCATTATACTTATATATTTTGTAAGTAACTATTATATGTAACTTGCAGTCTTATGTGTTTTGAGAACAAGTGGTTGTTCAATTAGTTTATAATATTAAAAAGTCCTTAGTTTCCATCCCTCATCCTGGGATGAGGCAGACGGGAGGTGAGAATGTGGGTGGCGACAGAGCGAGAGTTCAGTAGCTGGACGGGAGCCAGGGAGATAACACTTGTTGGAGTTAAGTTCTTTTGTTCTATCATAGCCATATATATTAATCTTGATTTAATGTCTGGAAGTTACAGTGATATTTTTAATGTGATATATTGTGACCATATAATCATCTGTTTGCCTTTGAGATTTATTTAATATAAATTATATATATATATGCTTAGTCTTTATTCTTCAGTCCTATGAAGATTCTATTTTTGTGCTCATTACCTATTAAGGGGTTATACTGGTGATTCGCTATTGAGAACAGCAGTTGTGTCGTATCCCTAGACTTATTAAAGTTTGGCTGCTGTAGGATCACGAGCCTTAACGTACGATAGGTAACAGTCGTCGACCAGGCTCTCCTGGTTGCCGGACTGATCAATACATCCAATAAACCACAAATAAATTCTCATGAGAAGCAAAACAATACAGTACTGTACCTGAGTGGTAAGCTTGCCAGTGCAGGCAAGCCGGAGGGTCCAGGCAGCGGGACGTGTGGGCACCAGGCCTCGGTCGCTGATATTGTACACTGGCTTTGACAAAGCCTCATGGTTGCTAATGTGTACATCCAGACTATATGGCATCTGAAATATTGTTAACCTATATTTCAAGTCACTGCAAATATTATTATAGCACATCTATCTCCTAAAATTTTATCTCATTCCAAATTAGATTATAGGCTTCCCAAACCTTGCAAAAATTAAGCACTAATATAATGAAATGGCCTTTCTGGTGGTGAGGCCGTGAGTAGCTACCCAAGCTAAGAATTGATCCAGCCAAATTTTGGGAGATGCGCCAGGCTTCCGAGATTCACCCGCGCTCTATATAGTAAGGGAAGTTTTGGGATAAGAATCAAAACCAAGACACAAACAGGAACCATAAGCACTACAAAACAAGCCACTGCTTAAAAAAATTAGGTACCTTCAGGTAATAAGGCAGCCCTCTCTCCCTTACTCTATAACCAACCAAACCAAACTCATCCATCCCCATGAAAAGGAAGGGAACAGGATAGGGAAAGTGTCCCACTAAAGGTAGTTTTATTATATTCACTGGTTGATTTCTGGGAGGCACCCCCCCTCCCCCCCCCATCAGTAGCTTTCCAAGCTAACTCAGAAGGTGGTTATCTTGAGATGATTTCGGGGCTTTTTAGTGTCCCCGCGGCCCGGTCCTCGACCAGGCCTCCACTCCCCAGGAAGCAGCCCGTGACAGCTGACTAACACCCAGGTACCTATTTTACTGCTAGGTAACAGGGGCATAGGGTGAAAGAAACTCTGCCCAATGTTTCTCGCCGGCACCAGGGATCGAACCCAGGACCACAGGATCACAAGTCCAGCGTGCTGTCCGCTCGGCCGACCGGCTCCCTGGTGGTTAGCATTTTTGTGGTGGTTTTGTGGTGGTGGTGGTGGTTAGCATTTTCGGAAAAAAGAATGTAAATAAAACCACTATGAATGTAATGAAATGCCTCTTTCTGGATGAGCACCGGTGGCTTCCTGAAGCTATCTCACCAAGATGGCTCCAAACTACTAGGTCATATCAGCAGTGGGGCTCTGTTTGGTCTACCAGAGACCAAAGCTAGAACCTGTTCCCAACATAGGATCATAAAGAGTGGGTGACAACACCACCCAACCAGGAAAGCGTCCAGAAAGTCAGCAAGCCAATACAGACCACTGCCGAGTTCAAGAAGACCAAAGTCTCAAAACTCTCAGACGAGCTCCCCAAATAATGTAAACAAGTGATCAAACTTCTTGAAACTAGCACAAGCTCATTAGCACTAACACCACAACCAGTAAGAGGGGACCTGGAGCTCTAGGTCTCCTCCAGTCTTCCAAACTAGTTTTGGAGCAGATGTAAACATTACACATACCAACCAACAAATCTGGAGGAGGAGAGAAGGGAACTATCAGGAGGGAAAGCGCCAAGTCATTACGACTATATAGCACTGGGAAGGGGTCAGGATAAGGATTTGGGATGGGACGGGAGGGAAGGAAGGAATGGTGGCCACAACCACTTTGACGGTCGGGGATTGAACGCCCGACCTGCATGAAGCGAGACCATCGCTCTACCGTCCAGCCCAAGTGGCTGGGGAGAGGGAGAGAGGGAATTGAGAAATCACCGGGGCTCATCCAGAAAATTGTTTCTTTACATGCAATGCTAGATTTTTGGGGGAGTCTCTTGTCACCCCCTGAGGCAAACTACCCACAGAGAAGACAATGGATTTACAAGGAAGGAGGAAACCACAGGTATTCAAAATGAGGAGACAACTGCCAAGAGATGACAAACCAAGGCAACACAGGCATGACGAGGCCTGTGTTGCCAAGGCCTCGAGGCACGATGAGGCAGGCAGAAGAGAAGGGAACGATCAGGAAAAGCACCAAGCCATTACGACTATGTAGCACTGAAGAGGTTTCTGCTATCATGTCCATCATGTCAAGAACATCAATAACTAAATCTTCAGAGATCAGTGACTTCACCTCTATGCTCCACTTTGCTGACCAGCTCCTCATCGTATCCAACTCTTGCAGAGGCTTCAAGACTGGAGAGATCTCAATAGTCTTTATGTTATGTACTAGGCTAACTTTTTAAGATTCGTCTGGACCTGACATTGTGGCCTGTTAGAAAGCGACTACTGTATTCCTTTACTGTATAATACAAGACATTTACTAACCAGCAGTTTTACTATGGCAAAATCTTTTATGAGGACATGGTTCCAACAGTAGTCATTCCTTGCCTTTCCCACATATGAACGTGTTTTTCAGATAACTCATGAAATGAAAACTCGGGTGTTATGAACCCGGATCCAGCGTCCGAGCACGGAGCAGTGACGACCGCGCCATCTGGGGGTCAGCTCCCGAAACCCCCTCCAAACGGACGACGACACCTGGTGAGGACGGCGTGTACTGGCCACAAGGGCCAGTTTCCAGTCCTGTGCAGCTCACAACACCGCCGCTGCTGACCTCTGGTGAGGTGGTGCTCAGACACCAGCGCCATCTATGGAGTGGATAGGTGGGCGTTTGTGTCTGAGCCTGTAAGTGAGGTGTTTTAGTGTCCCTGTTATTGATGACGTGTCTGCTTACAGAGTCGACCTGGGACTGCTGTGATGGAAGTTGAGGCAGTCTACCCAAGGCAGCCGTCTCCATACCTTGTGCTTTGCTGCAGCAGCTGTGAAGTCGTCCCCCGGAAGAACACTGTGGTGTTACCCTGCCAGTGGAGTGGCAGTAGAAGGATTACCCGGGACCGACTGCTGGAGACGATTATCCACTGGGGTATTGAGGACAGGAGAGTGATTTGTGGTATCACCCGAGGCTCCTGTCTAGGGCGTTACCCTAATATCGCCCGTGGAGTAGCCTGACCAGCGTTGCTGATCCGGAACCTGCCAGCAGACCTGCTGGACTTGTGGTTGACGGCCTCCACGGCGGTGCCCCCAGTGGACCTGTGTTTTGGCTGACCTGTGGCCAGGGTAGGCTCAGCTTCTCAGAGGATTCGTTGTGAGGCCACGAAAGCACCGAAGACTTAGCACCGAGAGCTTGATTCCAGCGTCTTCAGGAGAAGACGTTTGTGTACAGTGTTAATACCCCTCCCCCCGTGTAATCTTTTTATATATTATTTATTGGTGGTGGTCAATATATTATATTAAGTTTTTGCCTTTATTTCCCTTCCCCTTTAAGTTACTTGCGTCACGGATCACATCCCTTGAAAGCCACTACTGGCTTGGGATCGGATACAACTTCCTCTAACAACATCAGAGTAAGAACCCCGTTGCGTCCCGAGAGGGCCGTAACATCGGGTGTCATTGAGGATCAAATGGCTTTTAGTACGATGAGCCAAGAATGAAAACAAATCTTAACTATTTAAATATACCCTACAGTACCATATTCTAGAAATTGTCATCAAAATCCAGTAGATTTATAAGTGTAAACTAAAAACCACAAAGAGGAAGGGAGGTGGAAAAATTGGAAAGGGGAGGACAGAGTCTTACCGTTTTTCCATCCAGAGCTTGCCAGCGGAAGGTGAGGGAGTTGACCTGGTTTGGAACCACCACAACATAGCCCAGGGCATACTTGTTCACTGTTCCATTGTGTACATACCATAGTTGAGAACTCACTCCTGTAAAACATTTAACATTATAGTACATATTATATATATATTAATTACACAGTATACATATAAAAATGTGTATACTGTACATGCCAGAATAAATATCCTTCATGAGTGACACCCAGAGCCACTTGTCATGGCCACACCGTGACGAGGCCGCATAGTGTGGGTGGGCCACATCATGGCAAGGCTGCATAGTGTGGGTGGGCCACATCATGGCAAGGCTGCATAGTGTGGATGGGCCACATTATGGCAAGGCTGCAGTGTGTGGATGGGCCACATCATGGCAAGGCTGCATAGTGTGGGTGGGCCACATCATGGCAAGGCTGCATAGTGTGGGTGGGCCACATCATGGCAAGGCTGCATAGTGTGGGTGGGCCACATCATGGCAAGGCTGCATAGTGTGGGTGGGCCACATCATGGCAAGGCTGCATAGTGTGGGTGGGCCACATCATGGCAAGGCTGCATAGTGTGGGTGGGCCACATCATGGCAAGGCTGCATAGTGTGGGTGGGCCACATCATGGCAAGGCTGCAGTGTGTGGATGGGCCACATCATGGCAAGGCTGCACTGTGTGGGTGGGCCACATCATGGCAAGGCTGCATAGTGTGGGTGGGCCACATCATGGCAAGGCTGCACTGTGTGGGTGGGCCACATCATGGCAAGGCTGCACTGTGTGGGTGGGCCACATCATGGCAAGGCTGCACTATGTGGGTGGGCCACATCATGGCAAGGCTGCACTGTGTGGGTGGACCACATCATGGCAAGGCTGCACTGTGTGGGTGGGCCACATCATGGCAAGGCTGCACTATGTGGGTGGGCCACATCATGGCAAGGCTGCAGTGTGGGTGGGCCACACTGTGACAAGTCTGCACTATGTGAGTGGGCCACACTTGAAGGATTACACTGTGAGGATGGGGCCACACCCCCTAAGGCCACTCTGAGACGGTGGGCCACACCGTGAGGTAGGTGCCACACCGCAAGAGAGCCACACCACTCACCTAATAGCTGCTTGACCTCCTGAGAATCAACGTAAAGGTCCAGAGAAGGTTGGCTGAGGTGGAGGGCCGCCATAATCACCGCCAACAGGAGCCAACACCTCATTGTTCACCTCTGGACTTCACCTCATGCCCAGCACCACGACCACGACCCGCTGCTCCTCATGTGACGCACTGGCCGCCGCCCTCACTACAAAGTTCTCAAGGAAACAGAAACGCCTTGTCTCTCCAGCGACGCCATCATTATTTACATCGCTCATTCCGATCCTTCTTCTTTTCGCCTCGTAAACTCTATCTTTATTTCACTTTATTTATATTCACATTTCTCACCAAATACATCTTATTAAATATTATTGAAGTTGGCATTGGTATTTTGTTACCTTACTGACGTTTCTATGGCACAATGAGGAAATAAAGAAGGCTAAGTCAAAGCCACTAAGACCTTCGGACATCAAGTTGTAAACAATCAAGAATTCGTCGTTTTCTGTCGCCTAAAATGGTGTCCGTTTTCTACGCCGAAGGACCCGACCTTCTCTGGTCAACGGCTCTTAAGGGCACCAGCCTATTGGCTCGGGTTGTTAGGGGCAGTTAACCCCTATTGAAAGGGGGTCCATGGACAGCCGACACCCCTATTTAAATGTTGTTAGGGTCAGCTGCCCTCTAGTCAATGGTTGTTATCACCAGCTGACCACTAGTCAAGGGTTGTTAACACCAGCTGCCCACTAGTCAAGGGTTGTTAACACCAGCTGCCCTCTAGTCAAGGATTGTTAACACCAGCTGCCCTCTAGTCAAGGGTTGTTAACACCAGCTGCCCACTAGTCAAGGGTTGTTAACACCAGCTGCCCTCTAGTCAAGGATTGTTAACACCAGCTGCCCTCTAGTCAAGGGTTGTTAACACCAGCTGCCCTCTAGTCAAGGATTGTTAACACCAGCTGCCCTCTAGTCAAGGGTTGTTAACACCAGCTGCCCTCTAGTCAAGGGTTGTTAACACCAGCTGCCCTCTAGTCAAGGGTTGTTAACACCAGCTGCCCTCTAGTCAAGGGTTGTTAACACCAGCTGCCCACTAGTCAAGGGTTGTTAACACCAGCTGCCCTCTAGTCAAGGGTTGTTAACACCAGCTGCCTGCTATAATCTATGTAACTAAGCCTAAATCTATTACATATAGACACCCAAAATTCTATATTATAGAGAGAAGTTCATGTGAACTGGTACATCCACAAGGGGCACTGATGAAAGGTAAAAACGTGTATGAATTCACTCTGGCGTCCTGTCCCCCGATCCAGTGAATTATATATGTCTAACGTACGCTTGAAACAACCCAGGGATCCCACGTGTATTGTGTTACGCCGGTCATTTGTCCCACAAATACACAACTCTGTTCCCCCAACCAGTATTTACCCAGGTCTTTCTTAAATTTAAAAATCTTTCTTAAATTTTTTTTAACCAAAATTTTCTGTCCGCTTCCCCCCCCCCCTCACCGTCAATGGAAGTTATAACTTCAATATCATTATAGTCTTTAATATTTTAATAAAGTTACATTTTGGTTCGCTTAACCAAAGGTCCAGCCACTTGGGGTGGACGGTAGAGCGACGGTCTCGCTTCATGCAGGTCGGCGTTCAATCCCCCGACCGTCCATACAAGTGGTTGGGCACCATTCCTTTCCACCCTCCGTCCCATCCCAAATCCTTATCCTGACCCCTTCCCAGTGCTAGTAATGGTTTGGCGCTTTCCCCTCATAATTACCTTCGCTTGCATAACCAAAGTTTTCATTTAAACTGTTTAAATGTAGTTTAAACGCTTCGTACAGGTACTACGAACCCAAATGGTTCCTGAGAGTACTGTCATTTCAGGAGGCTTTGGGCGTCCAACGCCCCGTCTCTGTAGACAGAAACTGCCCTTCAGGCATCAAGATATGTCAAAAACTTCCTTCTGTCAAAAACTTAAGCTGTTTGAGAAAGTCTTAGAACTCCAGGGCGGCGCTGTCTCAGCCTTCACATCCCCGTCTTAAGCCGGGCGGAAGAAAACTTCTTTTTTCCGTCTCTTCTGGTCAGAAAAAGTGGCACCAAGAGGTTCATCACTGAGCCAAGGTCAGCAAGTTACTTGGCCATTTAAGGCTCTTCTTCGCTCCATTATCAAAGGTCATTAAGACATTTTTCGCTCCTGTTTAATGTCTCCTTTAATGGCTATTTTTATTTTAAGTGAGTTTTGTTGTGGTCATTGTGGCTAATGTCTGTTGACGCTGTGGTGGTTACTTAGGAATAGGTAAATACTGTCACTATGGCGGTGTGTCCACTCACAGGATGAGTGGCGCTGCCCAATACTGTCACTATGGCGGTGTGTCCACTCACAGGATGAGTGACGCTGCCCAATACTGTCACTATGGCGGTGTGTCCACTCACAGGATGAGTGACGCTGCCTAATACTGTCACTATGGCGGTGTGTCCACTCACAGGATGAGTGGCGCTGCCCAATACTGTCACTATGGCGGTGTGTCCACTCATAGGATGAGTGGCGCTGCCCAATACTGTCACTATGGCGGTGTGTCCACTCACAGGATGAGTGGCGCTGCCCAATACTGCCACTATGGCGGTGTGTCCACTCAAAGGATGAGTGACGCTGCCCAATACTGTCACTATGGCGGTGTGTCCACTCACAGGATGAGTGGCGCTGCCCAATACTGTCACTATGGCGGTGTGTCCACTCACAGGATGAGTGGCGCTGCCCAATACTGTCACTATGGTGGTGTGTCCACTCACAGGATGAGTGGCGCTGCCCAATACTGTCACTATGGCGGTGTGTCCACTCACAGGATGAGTGGCGCTGCCCAATACTGTCACTATGGCGGTGTGTCCACTCACAGGATGAGTGGCGCTGCCCAATACTGTCACTATGGCGGTGTGTCCACTCACAGGATGAGTGGCGCTGCCCAATACTGTCACTATGGCGGTGTGTCCACTCACAGGATGAGTGGCGCTGCCCAATACTGTCACTATGGTGGTGTGTCCACTCACAGGATGAGTGGCGCTGCCCAATACTGTCACTATGGCGGTGTGTCCACTCACAGGATGAGTGGCGCTGCCCAATACTGTCACTATGGCGGCGTGTCCACTCACAGGATGAGTGGCGCTGCCCAATACTGTCACTATGGCGGTGTGTCCACTCACAGGATGAGTGGCGCTGCCCAATACTGTCACTATGGCGGTGTGTCCACTCACAGGATGAGTGGCGCTGCCCAATACTGTCACTATGGCGGTGTGTCCACTCACAGGATGAGTGGCGCTGCCCAATACTGTCACTATGGTGGTGTGTCCACTCACAGGATGAGTGGCGCTGCCCAATACTGTCACTATGGTGGTGTGTCCACTCACAGGATGAGTGGCGCTGCCCAATACTGTCACTATGGCGGTGTGTCCACTCACAGGATGAGTGGCGCTGCCCAATACTGTCACTATGGCGGTGTGTCCACTCACAGGATGAGTGGCGCTGCCCAATACTGTCACTATGGCGGTGTGTCCACTCACAGGATGAGTGGCGCTGCCCAATACTGTCACTATGGCGGTGTGTCCACTCACAGGATGAGTGGCGCTGCCCAATACTGTCACTATGGTGGTGTGTCCACTCACAGGATGAGTGGCGCTGCCCAATACTGTCACTATGGCGGTGTGTCCACTCACAGGATGAGTGACGCTGCCCAATACTGTCACTATGGCGGTGTGTCCACTCACAGGATGAGTGGCGCTGCCCAATACTGTCACTATGGCGGTGTGTCCACTCACAGGATGAGTGACGCTGCCCAATACTGTCACTATGGCGGTGTGTCCACTCACAGGATGAGTGGCGCTGCCCAATACTGTCACTATGGCGGTGTGTCCACTCACAGGATGAGTGGCGCTGCCCAATACTGTCACTATGGCGGTGTGTCCACTCACAGGATGAGTGGCGCTGCCCAATACTGTCACTATGGCGGTGTGTCCACTCACAGGATGAGTGACGCTGCCCAATACTGTCACTATGGCGGTGTGTCCACTCACAGGATGAGTGGCGCTGCCCAATACTGTCACTATGGCGGTGTGTCCACTCACAGGATGAGTGGCGCTGCCCAATACTGTCACTATGGCGGTGTGTCCACTCACAGGATGAGTGGCGCTGCCCAATACTGTCACTATGGCGGTGTGTCCACTCACAGGATGAGTGGCGCTGCCCAATACTGTCACTATGGCGGTGTGTCCACTCACAGGATGAGTGGCGCTGCCCAATACTGTCACTATGGCGGTGTGTCCACTCACAGGATGAGTGGCGCTGCCCAATACTGTCACTATGGCGTGTGTGTCCACTCACAGGATGAGTGGCGCTGCCCAATACTGTCACTATGGCGGTGTGTCCACTCACAGGATGAGTGGTGCTGCCCAATACTGTCACTATGGCGGTGTGTCCACTCACAGGATGAGTGGCGCTGCCCAATACTGTCACTATGGCGGTGTGTCCACTCACAGGATGAGTGGCGCTGCCCAATACTGTCACTATGGCGGTGTGTCCACTCACAGGATGAGTGGCGCTGCCCAATACTGTCACTATGGTGGTGTGTCCACTCACAGGATGAGTGGCGCTGCCCAATACTGTCACTATGGTGGTGTGTCCACTCACAGGATGAGTGACGCTGCCCAATACTGTCACTATGGCGGTGTGTCCACTCACAGGATGAGTGGCGCTGCCCAATACTGTCACTATGGCGGTGTGTCCACTCACAGGATGAGTGGCGCTGCCCAATACTGTCACTATGGTGGTGTGTCCACTCACAGGATGAGTGACGCTGCCCAATACTGTCACTATGGTGGTGTGTCCACTCACAGGATGAGTGACGCTGCCCAATACTGTCACTATGGCGGTGTGTCCACTCACAGGATGAGTGGCGCTGCCCAATACTGTCACTATGGCGGTGTGTCCACTCACAGGATGAGTGGCGCTGCCCAATACTGTCACTATGGCGGTGTGTCCACTCACAGGATGAGTGACGCTGCCCAATACTGTCACTATGGCGGTGTGTCCACTCACAGGATGAGTGGCGCTGCCCAATACTGTCACTATGGTGGTGTGTCCACTCACAGGATGAGTGACCTGCCCAATACTGTCACTATGGTGGTGTGTCCACTCACAGGATGAGTGGCGCTGCCCAATACTGTCACTATGGCGGTGTGTCCACTCACAGGATGAGTGGCGCTGCCCAATACTGTCACTATGGTGG